CGGACGTCACTTCCTCCCAAGGGGCTCGGTCGTGCTGTTAAAGGGCCACAGCGCTGATCGGACCCCTGCTGAAATATGCTCACTGGGTGGCCCTAAGTGTATGGGTCACCCGGTGGGTCCCCTTAGTGTGCAGGCCGCGGTGCAGCCGCAATACCAGCACTGTGGTCCCATCATTTTTTTAACTTTTTTTTTAATGCAGGCAGTGGGGCCCGCAGGGGAGCTGCTTCGGGCCCCCTAGGAGTAACTGGGCCCGGGGCAGCTGTCCCGTTTGCCCCGCGTTAAAGACGGCCGTGAATAACACACAAAGAATGAAATGTTGCCATGTTTTTATTGAACACACCATGTAAACATTCACAGTGCAGGTGGAGAAAGTATGTGAACCCTTGGATTTAATAACTGGTTGAACCTCCTTTGGCAGCAATAACTTCAACCAAACGTTTCCTGTAGTTGCAGATCAGACGTGCACAACGGTCAGGAGTAATTCTTGACCATTCCTCTTTACAGAACTGTTTTAGTTCAGCAATATTCTTGGGATGTCTGGTGTGAATCGCTTTCTTGAGGTCATGCCACAGCATCTGAATCGGGTTGAGGTCAGGACTCTGACTGGGCCACTTCAGAAGGCGTATTTTCTTCTGTTTAAGCCATTCTGTTGTTGATTTACTTCTATGCTTTGGGTCATAGTCCTGTTGCAACACCCATCTTCTGTTGAGCTTCAGCTGGTAGACAGATGGACTTAAGTTCTCCTGAAAAATGTCTTGATAAACTTGGGAATTCATTTTTCCTTCGATGATAGCAATCCGTCCAGCCCCTGACGGAGCAAAGCAGCCCCAAACCATGATGCCCCCACCACCATACTTCACAGTTGGGATGAGGTTTTGATGTTGGTGTGCTGTGCCTTTTTTTCACTACACATAGTGTTGTGTGTTTCTTCCAAACAACTCAACTTTGATTTCATCTGTCCACAGAATATTTTGCCAGTACTGCTGTGGAACATCCAAGTGCTCTTGTGCAAACTGTAAACGTGCAGCAATGTTTTGTTTGGACAGCAGTGGCTTCCTCTGTGGTATCCTCCCATGAAATCCATTCTTGTTTAGTGTTTTACGTATTGTAGATTCGCTAACAGGGATGTTAGCATTTGCCAGTGACTTTTGTAAGTCTTTAGCTGACACTCTAGGATTCTTCTTCACCTCATTGAGCAGTCTGCGCTGTGCTCTTGCAGTCATCTTTACAGGACGGCCACTCCTAGGGAGAGTAGCAGCAGTGCTGAACTTTCTCCATTTATAGACAATTTGTCTTACCGTGGACTGATGAACAGCAAGGCTTTTGGAGATACTTTTATAACCCTTTCCAGCTTTATGCAAGTCAACAATTCTTAATCGTAGGTCTTCTGAGAGCTCTTTTGTGCGAGGCATCATTCACATCAGGCAATGCTTCTTGTGAAAAGCAAACCCAGAACTGGTGTGTGTTTTGTATAGGGCAGGGCAGCTGTAACCAACACCTCCAATCTCATCTCATTGATTGGACTCCAGTTGGCTGACATCTCACTCCAATTAGCTCTTGGAGATGTCATTAGTCTAGGGGTTCACATACTTTTTCCACCTGCACTGTGAATGTTTACATGGTGTGTTCAATAAAAACATGGCAACATTTCATTCTTTGTGTGTTATTAGTTTAAGCAGATTGTGATTGTCTATTGTTGTGACTTAGATGATGAGCAGATCACATTTTATGACCAATTTGTGCAGAAATCCATATCATTCCAAAGGGTTCACATACCTTTTCTTGCAACTGTATATGCATTCATGGAGGGTCTTAATGATAACATACTGGATGAGGGGACAGCCAGAGACCTTCCAGTCCTTCTAGAGGACCTTGTTGATTATCTTATCGACATTGATAACTGGTTAAGGGAGAGAGCCCAACAGAGGAATCGTGTTAGGCATCCTACAGTTGCTATAACTCCTAGGGCCTCAGTACCTGATGTTTCTTAATGTACAGATACTGAACCCATGCAACTAGGGGTGACCAAATTGTCTGAAGTAGAAAAAAAAAACCATAGAAAAAAAGAGGGGCCCTGCTTTTATTGTGGCCAGAAGGGGCATCTCAGATTGACTTGTCCTGTGCGTCTGGAAATTGTCACACCTAAGGTCGCTCAGGTGACCAGCCTTGGGTGTGATATCAGAATCCCCTATACTGCCTCATAATCGCTAACTCCTCCCTATCACCTTAACTTGGGGAGAAAAGTCTATAGACGTTCTAGCGCTCATAGATTCTGGAGCAGCTGATAGTTTTATAGACAGGAGTTCTGTCACGACCCACTTACCACTACTAAGAAAGAAGGAGACACCCTTGGCCGTTGAAGCCATAGATGGCAGACCTTTATTTTTTCCTTTAATCACTCATTAGACAGAACAGTTGACTATGCGTTCTGGTTTGTTACACACGGAGGATTCGTGTTTTCAGGTCATTTCCTTTCCTACTTCATTAATCATACTGGGTTATCCTTGGTTATGTCTACACAACCCCACTATTGATTGGAGACAAGGTGATATCTCATGGAGTGGTACCTATCAGGAGAAGTGTATAGAAAAGGTTACTCCTGTTCGTCTCATTAATGTTCCTACTGCCCCACCGCTGTCGACAGACATACCCTTCCCTTACGTACACCTGAAAGCAGTGTTTGATAAAAAGGAGGCAGACAGGTTATCATGATTCTGAGCAGGTCAGAGAGGGGACTTATGCCAGGGTTTACTTCAGGTACTTTATTTGTGTTCTTAGACATAGTATGAACAGGATATCCTATAATAGAAATTATCGGAAAGAGAGAGAAAGAAAACAGAACCGAATAATTAAGATTACCGGTAAGAATAACTAGGCTATGAAATAAAAGGGTTTAGACAATAAGCCCAAAGTTGAAAATAGGTAAACCTATAAAAGAAGTTATAGGTAGGAGAATGAAGGTAAACCTATAAGAGAAATTATAGGTACGAATCTTGAGGGAAAACAGAAAACAGAATTAAGGCAATATGCCCCAGAACAGGATATAAAGAAACAAGAAAACCTATAAAAGAAATTATAGGTTCGAGTTATAGAAAGAACAGAAGAGAAGGTTTAGGCAATATGCTCTAAGCGGGTTATCAGGTAACAGGTAACAGGGATATAATCAGATAAAACTAAACAGGAACATAAAGCATAAAGTAAAACAGGTTAAAGTAGCAACTTGAGACAAACAGCCTCCTTGGTTTGTAATCAGAAAAATTATTCATATAAGAAGCGTATCTGTGAAGCTGTCTCCTCAATTTATTTAAAGCGATGGGGATCCCTGAAGCCCAGGAGGAAACAATTAGAGAGCAGGCGCATAGAACTTTTAAGCCAAGCACTATAAAGGAAGATCTCCCCAGAGATATAATTGTACGCATATCATCCTATTTTGTTAAACAAAAAATAGTACAGGCGGTGAGATATTTTAAAGCACCTGAAGATAAATTATGTAACTTAAAATTCTTTCAAGATTTATCTGCTACGACAAGAGCTAACAAAAGGTTTTTGGTTTTTTTTACTGAAATTCTGAGAGAAAAGAAGATCAGATATAACTTGGGGTTTCCCCTAAAAATCTTTGTCAGATTCAGTGAGAGAACGTATATTATTAACTCTAAGCATATGGCCATAGAATAGATGTCTAAGCATCTCAATTTAGTAAGGAGTTCAGTAACACCGACTTTTATTGCTGAAATTAGTTAAGAAGGGTATTGATGGGTATTGTAAAATGAAAGGAGGATCTAAGAGGGCATTTTTAAGAATTAATTTTGACACAAAGTATTGCATTCATCTCATTAACAAAGGGATTATTAATTTAGGTTACGAGTAGTAGTGGTTTCACAAGGGAAGAGTGTGTCTATATGGAATCTAAAATACATAATGTTAATAGAATGATTTAAAAAATGATGTTGATATTGAATGTGGCCCTCCAGTGCCCCCCACCCCAAGTTATGACCTCGTCTGAGGATGCCTTCCGGGAGTAAGGCGGTAGCTGTGATCCCCCTTTAAGTTCATACCATCCCCTGCGTCGCTGCCCCCGAATAATGAGTCCCCACCTGTCAGTCCCCGCAACTCTAGACTATGTGCTCGGCGTCATCGTCCATAAGTTGTCGAGCGAGGCAGTATTTGGTGCGTTGTGTGTCAAGTCCATAGTCCTGTCGGAGATCAATAGTCATTTGTACTTATCTGAAAGTCTTGTGAATGTGCTGGCTGTCGGTGGCCATCTTCACATCTCCTGTTGTCCCCTTACTGCCATGTTCCATTTCGGGTTCGGGAGGCGTTAGGTTGCACTGGGTGTTGCGCCGGGTTGAGAGGTCTGCGGTCTGGCCGTCTGAGCGGCGAGTCTTCCCTGCGACGCCTCGGTTCTCTCGGGGCTGGCTGGTTGGGTCTCTGTTCCAGCGGGTTCAGAATCCAGTCCGTAACCTCCGTGCGTGGTAGGCCCATGCCAAGAAGAAAAGCCGGTACCTCATCCGGCCAACGTAAAGGCCGCCACTCATTATTATGTCTAGCCAGTAAGCAGAAAGGGAATCCCCACTTATACGGTATGTTGCGACTGCGTAGCAGTTGTGTCATTGGTCTCAGCGCTCTGCGGGCCTCGAGTGTGAGAGGGGAGAGATCTTGGTATAGGGCTACCTCTGCTCCTTGGAATCGCCATGTTCGTTTCAGTGTGGCTTTGTTCATGATCATCTCCTTTACCCTGTATTCATGGAGACAGCATATGACATCTCTGGGTGTATTGTCTGCGTTGCGCGGTCTCAGGGCTCTGTGTGCGCGTTCAAAGTCAATGCGCAGCGGCGAGTCCGGGCCTAGAATTTCCCAGAACAGGGCAGTCAGCGTAGCCGAAACATCTTCTTCTCCTGCTGCTTCTGGTAGGTTTCGGACTCTGATGTTCAACCTTCGGCCCCTATTGTCTAGGTCCTCGGTCTGTCTTCTTAATTGTAACAGCATGTTGCCTTGCTTTGTTACTGCCGCATCAGTGGCATCCAGTCTGCTACTTGCTGTAAGTTGAGTTGCTTCCAGGGTTTGTATGCGTCCATCTTGGCTACTATGTCCCTCTGAATTGTAGCTACCTCCGATCTAATTGCCTCATGGAGTGTGGCTGATAATGCCTGCAGGTCAGCTTTCGTGACCATGGCTCCCGTTAGGGCTCTGATGTCGGCCCGAATGTCCGACAGTGAGGGTTCCTGCGTGTCGGGCGGCTGTGCTGAGGTCCGGTCGTCGGCCATTTTGTGGCCTGTGGCGGTACGCGGCTGTCTGCTTGGCGTGTGGAGGTATCCGTCAAGCGGTCCTGTTTGCGAAGCCCCCTGTGATCCCCTCGTGGTTTGGTGGGAATCAGACCTCTTGGCACGACCCATCAGGTAGGTTTCTGTGCCTTGGATGCGAATTTTGTGCACTAGTTGTGGCTATGTGGGACGGAGCTCCTTAGTTAGGCGGCCATCTCCATCGGCGTTCAGGCCACGCCCCATTTCTGGAATATTTCTGCTATTTGTTTGGGTTTTTCTGTTTGGCTCCACTTCAATCCATTATTTTGTCTATTCGTTTCTGGGCCATTTTTTTAAATTTAGTTTCCGAGCTAAGAGTGTATCTGTCTTATTAGATTTCTCATAATAGAGCTGTTTCAACCACTGGATGGCTTTGATCGAATCTCTCCCCATGAATGCCTTGATATCTGCTTGGCATTTGGAGATATGTGTGGTCAGTTCCTGCGTGGGAGTTTGTTTTAGTCTCGTTTCAAGGGTTCTTAGTGTCTCCAGTGTGGACTGTAAGTGTGTTAATTGTTGTTTTTCATGGTTTGTCGCTAGGCTGATTAGTGCCCCTTTCAGGACTGGTTTATGGGCAGCCCAGAGCGCATTTCGAGTCAACTGCGTTGGTGTTCAAGTTAAAGTATTCCAGTAATGTGTGTAGGATTGATCCCGTATTTGCGGGTTTTGCAACAAGGTGGAGTTGAGGCGCCAGGACCATTGTTTGATTGTGTTAGGTAATGTGATTTCGAGCGTTATAGCAGCATAGTTGACCATATAATTGAACTTATTGTGGCAGAACCAGCCACCTCTTTGTATTAGAGACTGTTCTGTTCATGTCAAAGACTTATCTGATTTGAAAATTCCCCAAACCGACTGAATGCAATTAAATAGTTGTTCTTACTCAATCATCTCCCAGGTACAGAGGAGGAGTTTGGGAAATGTTTATTTGTTCCATGTCTCCACTCAGGTCCACCAGGGAAAATCCCCTGGAATGTGAATTAAGAAACCCGTTGCATGGGGAGTTGCATAAAAGCCAGCTGTTGCTGAATAAAAATCGGTTGACTCCAAGAACTGTGTATCGTCTGGTTACTGGGGTTCTCCTTGGTGGCTAATCATTAAATTCATGAAGCACCAATATCCAAAAAGTAATAATCAATTACCTAATAAGGTTTATAGCGATATTGGCGGGCACACAACCTAGTTCGAGATGAGTGTCTTGGGCTATAGGAAAAAGAAACCACACAGAGACCAAGTTGCAGATAAGAATTCACACCACAATTTATTGTCCACAAGGGGACCCAACAGTGGCGTACTAAGGGGGGGGCGGGGGGGGCGGTCCGCCCCGGGTGCCAGCCGGGTGGGGGGTGCCATGGCCAGCCCCGCCGGCTCCCCCCCCCCATGCTGCAGCCGCCCGAGCGCTCTGTGAAGAGCCTCAGGCGGCTGCAGCTTTGCCCGGGCGGTGCGCCCATGAGGGCGGACCGCACCGCCCGGGCGCAGCCTGAGGAGAGGCTGACAGGAGGGAGCGCTCCTGTCAGCTCCTCTGATGCCGAGCCTGTCAAGGTAAAGAGCTGCCTGTACCGCCGATTAACAGGAGCGCACAGTGTGTGCACTTCCAGCTAGTCCCGGGCCGTGGCCAGGAGACAGCTGCTCCCCTGCACCGGCCATACAGGCCGCAGCCACCTACAGCGCCAAGGTAGGGGAGGTGTGAGGTGGGATGAGAAAGAGAAGGGGGGGTGGGGGTGAGAAAGAAGGGGGGTGAAAGAGAAGGGGTGAAGTGAGAAAGAGAAATGAGGGGGGGGGGTGAGAAAGAGAAATGAGGGGGCGGAGAGGAAAGTCGGGGGTGGTGAGAAAGAGAAAATGAGGGGGGGTGGGAGAGAGGAGAAATGGGGGTGGTGAGAAAGAGAAATAGGGGTGATGGGGGTGAGAGAGGAGAAAGGGGGTGAGAAAGGGGGGGAAGAGAAGGGGGGTGAGAGAGAAATTAGGAGGGGGGGTGATGGGGGGTGAGAGAGGAGAAAGGGGGGTGAGAAAGGGGGGGAAGAGAAGGGGGGTGAGAGAGAAATTAGGAGGGGGGGTGAGAAAGAGAAATTAGGAGGGGGGGAAAGAGAAATTGGGAGGAGGAGAAGGAAATTGGAGCTGGAGGAGAGATTGACATTCATCACATACACACAATGCACCCCTTGCACACAGAAAAACACACAATGCATTACTCACACAGACACACATACACAAGCAATGCAACCGTTACACACAATGCATCCCTTACACACACAGAAACACACAATGCATTCATTACACACACTCAATGCACCCCTTACACACATTCAATGCATCCCATACATACACAGAAACACACCTTGCAGCCCTTACACATACAAACACAATGCATTCCTTACACACATATCAGGACATCCCTTACACACTCCACCCCCTGTGAACAAACTCATTGGTGGAACATGAAGGTGGACCCTGGGACCCAGACCTTGAGCTGTGTAAAGGACCCCCAAAAAATGGAGCTGCTTCCCGTTCTCCCAGAACATTGATTTTTGTGACCACAGTTACAAACCGCCTCCAGAGAGCCTGTTCTGCACCAGACCAGTGGAGCCAGACTGCAGCTAGAGCCCATCATCCTCCTCATCTGGTTGTAAGTAGGCAATCTAGTATATTATTCGTGGCACTAAGCTCTAATTTACCTCATATTAAAGAAACACTATAGTCCCCAGAACCACTTCAGCTTAATGTAGTGGTTCTGGTGTCTATAGCCTGTCCCTGCAGGCCTTTTAATGTAAACACGGCGGCACTGCAGCACTGGCGTTAGTTAACATGGCAAATCATATGGGTGGGGCGGCAAACTTTACTTTTGCCTAGGGCGGCAAAAATCCTTGCACCGGCCCTGGCTGGAGGGGGCTGTGTGAGCTGTGGCCGCACAGTGTCCCATGATAGTTAGGGTGCCGTGCGGCCGCACGGAGGAAATGTGTATGTGTGACTGTCTGCCTGTGACTGTGTGTGACTGTCTGCCTGTAACTGAGTGTGTGACTGTCTGCCTGTAAATGTGTGTGTGGGGCTGCAGGGATTTTGTAGAAGGGGCGGGGGGTTTGCATTGGGACAGGAGTCTTTATAAGGGGGGATAAGCAGGGGATTTGTGGAAGGGGGTTGCGGGGGTTTTGTAGACGGGGCAGTACAGGATTTGTAGAAGGGGCAGGACAGAGGTTTTGTAAGAGGGGCTGACAGCGGTTTTTACTGGGGGGGTGCCAAGCACAGGATCCGCCCCGGGTGCCAAATGCTCTAGGTACGCCCCTGGGACCCAATACAGAGTAAGCTTAATTCTCATTAAGCAGTTGCATGCATTCACTTCAAAATAGCTTAGCATCCGGATATATCAGCTTAAGTATACATCACCGTTAGAGGGGCTTGTGTCCTCTGCACTTGACTGGGGAGAACTCTGGCAGTCGGCATGGAGGGACCCTCTCTGGGAACAGTAGAGACCAGCAACACGCGTCCGCATTACAGGTGGGTAGTTCTCCAAGTGAGTGCCAAGTTTCTCCGTCTTTTATACCTTTTAGCAAGTTGGTAACTTTTCCAAGATTTCTTATCAGTGCAGCCCAGCATGTATCTTGTCATGCGCATTAGGTAATCAGTATGGTTGATCAGGCCAGTCGTGACCACCCAAGGCTCATGCCAGACACGTGCGGTATCTTATTCTATGTCCCTACTCTTATCTTTCCATACATTTGTTGGCACCAATTCCCTCTGTTCAGCACGTGGGCCTTTTTGGATATTGGCCAGACATGCTATGGAATATTCCAGGCAATGTTGAATTTCTTAGTGTGACACAGTTTAAGCATTTTATGCAATGTCATCATAGCTGAATTTCTTAGTGCGACACAAGCTGAATTTCTTAGTGCGACACAAGTTGAATTTCTTAGTGCGACACAAGTTGAATTTCTTAGTGCGACACAGTTTAAGCCAAGTGCCATCTTAACTATCTATGATAGATTAATTTGCTCATTAGTGATCAATCAATCATTCTTAATTAGTTAATTGGATTTTATCACAATTATCACAACGTCGTAGGTAGAAGGCTCCCATGCGGTTTCTAAAATGGACGACAGCGACAGCAGCAATTCCACTGGCCAATAGGGTGAACTCTTTCTGGGGTCCTGATGCAGTTTTCATGAATCACACAGCACAAGCTGACACTGTGGGAGATCCTTGAGGGCTCTCGACCTCCTCTGTGAACACTCCCGGGATATGCTCAAAGACAGGCAAGATCCACAGCAGCCTGCTCAGGGCCTGCTCCAGCTCAGTATGCCTTACCAACATTCCTGAGGCCTGTTCCAGTGACCTACACTGGGAGAGCAGTTAGAGAAGTTATCCCTATGCACCAACTCCACTATGCTGCAGCCCGCACATGGGTACTATGGCTTGGAGAGTGCCGCGCCCATACCCACCCAACAACTGGGAAGCTTGTTAACGTGGTCTGTGGACAACGTGCCCTATGGAGGGACTTTGGGACTCAGTGGGCCTATTGGGTACTCTACAGAGACTCTCCCTACGACTAGGAATAGGCTGATTTTTCTTACCTCTCGCATTGCCAGAGCTGGTGGTGACTCCAGCCTTTCATGCTATGCAACAATTAAGGCACACATCGTGTAATCTACCATTGATAGCCTCATCAGATGTTGTTTTGGTTGCATTTATTGATAAGTGTGCAATCTTCTCTATTATTGCTGAAGTTATTTACATTTGATTACATTACTTTATAATATAAAATGTGCAATGCTCAGATATGCTGACCAATTGTCCTTAAATGTTGACTGATATGCTGCCAATAGCTGTTGGGGCACTGCTTGCCTCATGTATTTTTCATGCACGATAAAATAAAGAAATACATTTTTTCTAAATTCAAATTGTTCAATTTTTCAAATTTTTGATACAATTGGGAGATATCACATTTTTCTTGCAAAGCTCTAGAAATCAGAGTACTGGGGCGCCAGATCATAATTTGTTTTTAATATGTGAAATGTCATCAGTGAGTTATTTTCCAAAAAATTCTCAATACTATAAACTGATTTCACATGCTATTCATTTAAATCCGATTGATAATGTTTCAAAATGGAAAGCGGCATGACCCTAGACCAGTGATGGCGAACCTATGGCATGAGTGCCATGGCACACCGGGCCCTCTCTGTGGGCACGCGGCCATAGGTCACAGGGGGAGGGGGCCGCTGCCACTGGTCGGCAGCAATGCAGAGTTTTGGGCAGGCAGGTGCCTACTCTGCTTTCGTGTCGGGAGGACCTGGAAGCAGGGGGAGGGATGTGGGAAGCAGTTCTCCTGTCCTCCCGCGAGCAGGCTGTGTGGAGCATTGCCACGCATTCTGCGCGAGGGAGGACTGGAGAGCTGTAGCCAGAACCTGTTCTACATACTTACCAAAAGCGGACCATCAGGGTTGGCTGTGTCCCCCCCCACTCCTTCACCAATTTGCTACCTGCAGCCCTCCCCTCACATACAAACAACACTCCTCTCACACACACTTCACCCCTCTCACACACACAGCACCCCCCCACACACAGTAACCCTCTAACACACATAGCACTCCACGCACAAATAGCACCCCTCTCAGACACACAGCACCTCCCCCCAACACACAGCACCCCTCTCACACACAGCACCTCCCTCCCCCACACAGCACCCCTCTCACCCACACAGCATCCCCCACACACACACAACATCCCTCTCACATACACTGCACCACCTCCAAAAACACACAGCACCCCCAAAACACAACACCCCTCACACACACAGCACTCTCACATATACTGCACCCCCCCACACACAGAACCTCTCTCACACACACACACAGCACCCCTCACACATACACACAAACACATATACTGCACCCCTCAATGCAGTATGTGTGTGTGTTTGTGTGTGTATGTATTCAGCAGTATGTGTGTACTCAGCATTCTATTTGTGTGTGTGTGTGTGTGTGTGAATTCAGCAGTCTGTCTGTATGTGTATTCAGCAGTTTATATGTATTCAGCAGTCTGTGTGTGTGTATTAAATGGATTGCGTGGCAGGTCCCTGTCTCTTCGGCTCTGGACTGTGAAGGGAGCAAGTGCCTTTAGTTCGTGGATCCCTCTTCTCCAAGTGTCGGGATCGTGATCCCCTGGGACTTCCGGGAGCGGTCTTCCCCACGAGTATGTGGACTGCGGTTTGGAGGAATCTCTAGTTGGGCCCCCAGCCCGGAAGAGGAACAGGTAACGGCTGCTGCTTTACAGGCGGTTGTTATCTCGGGAGGGGTGAGTACGGGTCTACGCATAGCGAGACGGTCCCAGAAGGCCTGGCAGATTGCTTTGAACATGGCATCGAAGGCCTCTCTCCAGCTCTGGCCCATCAGGCTTGTTTAGCTGTGCTGGGATTTCAAGGTGGCGGCTATCTTTGCTGAATCGCCTGGCTTGCAAGTTTCCTCCTTTCAGGCTTTGTGGAGCAGGCTTAGCGGACCCAGTGGGGACCGGGATAACCCCCACAGGCCCAAAGTGGGGGATAACAGAGCTCTGAGCTGTGTGCCTCCCAATAGGAGATTGGCCGCGTCTCATCACTGTTGGCCCGCCAGATGCAGTAGGCTTCATGTGCACTGTCCTTCGGTCCATTCGATTCGGGCACATCAAGGTTTGCTTGGCTGTTGAGTGTCAGCTTTAGAGTTGAAGAGCTTGTTTTTTTGCAAAGCCTGCACTGTTTTCGTGTGTTTGTGGCTCAGATCGTGAGGAGCTACAGGCAAACACGTCCGACAAGTTGGAGGTCAAGCCCTGCCCAGAGTTTTATAGTTTTAAAAAGAATATCCCATGCTTTTATTAAAGTTTTTGTGGATGGAAACATTTCATATAATTTTGGTCTTTTTGAACAGGGAAGCCAAATTAAATATTTGATTGAATGTGGATATAATTTCTGAGTTTCTATTTTGGTTTATTAAAGTCCATATTGAATTTGATAGCTGCACCCGCATTAGTAGCATAGTATTATTTTCTAAAATCTGGCATCCCCAGGCCTCCATAACCCCTTAATGCCTGCAAAACTGTCAATTTAACTCGACACAGCTTATTTTTCCAAATAAATTTGAGTAAATCAGAATGTACTCTTTTTTTTTTTCAAAAGACATTGGAACCGTCAGATTTACCAATGTTTCTTTTGGCATGATTGTTATATTGCGTAACAAAAGCATAGTTGAATCTACTACTATCTAGATGTTTGACTATTCCTTTATTCTATTGTACACTTTCTGTATGTGTCTTTCTTTTATTATTTTAGACAGACTCAAAGACCTTTTTTTATCCAAAATGTTTATTTTCATACAAATTAATTGAACCATGGGACTATTGCCAGCAAGGAAAGATGATGAGTACTAGTATTGTCAACAGCAGGGCTACAATCCATAGGTTTGAAATTTGTTTGGTCTAAAAAAATCAATGTGTTCTGAATGAAAAAGAGAAGTAAAATGTAAATTATTAATTAGGAAGTAAGCTTAAGAAAAGGACCTCCAAGGTAATTTTTTTTAGAAATATTACCTGTGCCGCGCGCTACAGCAGAAAGGCAGCGGGAGATTAGAGAGGTCAATGCGTGGCTAAAGTCTTGGTGCAGGAAAGAGGGTTTTGGGTTTTTAGAGCACTGGGCCGATTTTGCGCTTGGGTACAACCTATCATGATGGATTGCACCTAAACGGAAGAGGGTTCTGCTGTGCTGGGGGATAGGATGGCTAGAAGGTTGGAGGAGATTTTAAACTAGTTGTAGGGGGGAGGGTCAAAGCAATCTAGAAAATGGAGATAGGATGGAAAGGAGATGGGCTTTAGCTCAGAACAAAGGGGGTGGAGATGGGGGGAGGGGAAAACTCAGAACAGAGGAGGTATGTAATATTGATAATTCACAAAAAGTACAAAAGACTCATGATAATATTAAATGTATGCTTACTAATGCAAGGAGCCTATATAACAAAATGGGGGAACTAGAGGCAATAGCATACAATAAACAATATGATATAATAGGCATAACAGAAACATGGTGGGATGAGACACATGACTGGGCAGTTAATTTAAATGGGTACACGTTATTTAGGAAGGATAGGAAAAACAAGAAGGGTGGTGGGGTATGTTTATATGTCAACCATGAGTTAAAGTCAAATCTTAGGCATGTGGAGTGTGACGAGGAAAAGGTGGAGGCTTTATGGGTAAATATCTGCTTGGGGCAAAAAAAGGGAAATCAATTATTGGTTGGGATATGTTATAAACCACCTAATGTAAATATTAATGAGGAAGAACAGCTGTTAGAGCAAACTGAGAAAGCTGCAAATCGAGGTAACACGTTAATTATTGGAGATTTTAATTATCCAGACATAAATTGGGAAAGAGGGACTAGTACTTCAGCAAGGGGAATCAGGTTTTTGAATGTGTTAAATGACACCTTTATGTCACAACTGGTACAAACACCAACTAGAAAGGATGCTTTGTCTGGATCTTGTCATAACAAACAATGTTGATCTTTTAACCAACATTCAAGTAGGGGAGCATTTGGGGAATAGTGATCACAATATGGTAAATTTTGAAATAAACTCAAAAAAGCAAAAGCAGGTGGGGTATACTAAAACATATATTCCATATGACAAATTCATAATCTATGTAGCTTCACCATAGGACTAAACTCTCCCCACAAAAATCTCCCATCCTGACATGTGATGATTCCCAATGGGACACATAAAGGATGGTGAAACTCGGGGCGAACCTCTTGCCCATCGCAATGCCATATATCTGAAGAAAAAACAGAGTCAAACCAAAGAGATTTCCTAAATATTACAAAATGAATACACTTAACCAGGAATTCTACCTGTATGATGTTCAACAAACTTCTATCAGTAAGTATTTCCTTAATTCCTTAATATTAGAGGTTAAAGATGTTACATCAGCAGTTGCTATAATATATGTAGATTTCCATTCAAAACACTGGACGATGTTTCGATCTTTGATATGATGGACAGGAAGCCACAAATAGAAATCCATGTATTGAGAGTGAATCTATAGCATTCCAAATAAAGAATTTACTTATCTTCATACAGCTGCTCGGCATTCCCCGTCTGATGTCATGGGAGCCACAATGAGATCCAATGCCTTTGATTGGACCATTTCACTGGCTCAGAGTGCATGGGAAGGAGGGAGAGAAATGAGGAGGAGGGAGTGCTGGGGAGACATGAAATATCACATGGGATAGGGAGAGCTTGCTTAGTCTTGCAGGTGCTCTACCTGCAAGGGTATGAGTTTCACGTGGTTGGCTGAGTGTAGTGTGTGCTGACGCCAGACTTTTTTTTTTATGCACAGAATTGACATTGGCAGCCTGGAATAGAGTTTACAGTCGTGTGGGTTAAGCTTGTATATAGCCCCCTGAAATATTTCTGGATGTGTCGTGTTTCAAGAAGTATATTATTCTGGTGTGGTTAATAATGCCCCAATTACACTGCCGGAGGTGGAGTTACACCTCCAGCAGCAGAGGGTTTAGCCCCTTAAGGACTGAGCCAAATGTACACGTTGTGAACAAAACAAAACGTAAACAAAACCTGGCATTTGCGCTAGATGTCTGTCCAACCGTAATTCACCTCTTTCATATTAAATGCACCCACACTTACTATATATCATTTTATTCAGGGGAAACAGGGCCTTCATTTAATATCAAATATTTAGCTATGAAACATAATTTAATATGAAAAAAATGGGAGAAAATAAGAAATTTTGTTATTTTTTTTTAGTTATACATGACATTTTAACTGTCAATGTCATAATACTGTTTGCTTTTACTGCAATAAAATACACATATTTGTATTCATCAAAGTCTCACGTGTAAAACAGTACCCCCTATGTACAGGTTTTATGGTGTTTTGGGAAGTTACAGGGTCAAATATAGCACGTTACATTTGAAATTCGCCAGATTGGTTATGTTGCCTTTGATACTGTATGGTAGCCCAGGAATTAAATTTACACCCATAATGGCATACCATTTGCAATAGTAGACAACCCATGGTATTGCAAATGGGGTATGTTCAGTCTTTTTTAGTAGCCATTTGGTCACAAACACTGGCCAAAGTTAGCGGTAATATTTGTGTGTGAAAAATGCAAAAAACGCCAATTTTGGCCAGTGTTTGTGACTAAGTGGATACTAAAAAAGACTGGATATACCCCATTTGCAATACCTTGGGTTGTCTACTATTGCAAATGGTATGCCATCATAGGGGTAATTTTCATTATTGGGCTACCCTAGGGCAGGGGTAGGCAACCTACGGCACTCAAGGCTGCTAGAGCCAAACAGACTATGGCCTATCAGGAGTCCCAGTGAAGCTTCCGAGATCTGCTAATATGTGTAATAATAATTAATATAGTAGCCCAGAGTGTGTAAATACACATAAAATATCAAATAACAAGTGTGCAAAAGTCAAAGCAGACGCGTTTCGGCTAAACAGGCACCTGTTATTTGTTATTTTATGTGTATTTCCACACTCTGGGCTACTATATTAATAGGGGTAAGTGGAATTCCGATTTTGTTACATTTTTACTATTGCCTGTTTTGGGTTCCACCCCTATAGTGTATACATTTTTAAATATATATTTTTTACAATAAATATATTTTATACTTTCATTTGGAGTCTCATCTATCTGAATCATTCGGATCGCTAGCCAATATTTGGCACCTTTGAGTCTGATTTACAGAGCCTGGGACGGCTCTGGATAATGTGAGTGAGAGTCATACATCCATCTGTTATGCATTAGTCACTATACAGTTTGCACTATGCTGTTTTTTAATCTTTTTCTTGTTTTAGTGTATATTTCCAATTGAACTCTACGCTCTGTTGCATTACTATCAAGTTTTGTACTGGTAATGTTACCCATTTTTTGTGACCACACTGGGGAGGTGTATTTACTGGTACATGTCTCTTTAAATTGTAATCCTCAATTTATGCATTGCAGAACGTAGAGGAAGTGATCTCAGATCCCTTCCTCCCAGCAGTAGTGAATCGGAATCCACACTGTAGTAGAGCAGCCTGCAGCTGCTGCTACTGTCCTTGACCTGTACCTGGCCAGCCTGGTCCCCACTGGAACCCAGGGAAGCCACCCACACGGCTAGATATACACAGAAATGCACAATAACCCTCCCCTCATACAAATAATACGAACAGCCCACAAACAAACATACACACACAATCCGCACAAACGTAACCAGCTAAGAATCCACATACATGCACACAACCCCACATGCAGCCTCTCACATGCAATACCCCAAACAGCCACCACACATACACACACTACCAAACACACAATGTGACATGTCCATCCACACACACAATTCCACAAGCAGCCCCCATACACAGCCCACATCCATATGTTTCATACACAATACCACAAACTACTCCTGAACATATACAATATAATAGCTCATATACGCACAAATACAAAGATACAAAGCAATTACAGTATAAATAACACAAGCAGAATACGGCAACATACAGACCTCAATTTTAAAAAAATAGGACCGGCATGCTACGGGTCATCACAATCCTATATCGGCACAGTGCTGCTAAAAGGTTGCCTACCCCTGCCCTAGGGTCTCAAAGGCAACGTAACCAATCTAGCAAATTTTAATGTGAAAAAAATGAAACAAGCCTTATATTTGATGCTGTAACTTTTGAAAACACCATAAAACCTGTACATGAGGGGTACTGTTGTACGCGGGAGACTTCGCTGAACACAAATATTTGTGTTTCAAAACAGTAAAATGTATCACAGCAATAATATTGTCCATGTAAGAGCTGTTTGTGTGAAAAATGCAAAAAACCCTTCACTTTTACTGGCGATATCATCATTGTAATACATTTTACTGTTTTGAAACACTAATATTTGTATTCAGCGAAGTCTCCCGAGTAAAACAGTACCCCCCATGTACAGGTTTTATGGTGTCTTGGAAAGTTATAGGGTTAAATGTGCTAGTGCTAATAACACATCTATTTTTTTTATTATGTTATTTTTTAACGTATTTACATATTTTTTGTAATATTATATATATAACAATAATTATATATATATATAATAGTAAAATACACTTAGACAGTGTATGTGTGTGTATGTATATGTGTGTGTGTATATATATATATATTCTAAGTATATAATTTATTTTTTTTACACTGATTTTAACTGTTGTTTATTTGAATTCAGCCAGCAGGGGGACTGTGATTACAGGCAGTCCCCCTGCTGGCAATGCAGCAGCCAGCTAACCCGGCCATGTGATTGTGAGGTCCTCGCTCTCACATGGCCGGGGTGGGGGAGCCGGAGGAGGCAGGATCAGCCGCGGGGGACTCCCTGGGATCCCAGGTGAGTCCCCCAACTGCGATCGCCGGCAACTGGGTAAGAAAAACCGTGAGGGCGTACTATTACGCCCTGCGGCATTTAGAGCCGCTTAGTATAGGGCGTAATAGTATGCCCTCCGGTTTTAAGTGGTTAATCTCTGTATGTTCAGTTTCAAAATCACTGAAGTGGTCATGGTGCCTAGAGTAAAAAACTTTTACTGGAGTACCCTTTACATCCTAATGTAATACTCAAGATCGCTGTAAGTACAACTTTTAGGGTCAATTTGTATTATATTTTTAGTGCATGCAGCTTTGAGCAGAGAGGAACCTGAAATGTTTTCAGATTTAAGTCCTTTATAGCAGGGGTGCACAAAAGGTAGATCCCCCGATGTTGTAGAACTTCAACTCCCATGATGCGTTGCATGCCTTTAGAATGGTAAAGCACCATGGAAGCTGTATTTTCTAAAACATCTGGGATCTACATTTGCGCACCCCTGCTCTATGGTAACAGTCTACTTAAAATGTTGAGATTATAAAAAATATACAGTCAAGTAGCAAATTATAAATTAAACACCAGTAAAACAATAGTGATGGGTATTGAGTTAGAAGAAGAGATAAAACAGAGGATAAAAAGAACATATGATTTTGTTTGGACGATTAAGAAATTTGACTATTTAGGAATAACGATTACTATAAATATAGATGATGGTAGAAAATGTCCTAAGACTCTTAAAGACTACAAATTTATCACTCAAGGCTTGGAAAAATTTGCAGATCACATGGTGGGGACGTATAAATTTAATCAATTCCTACATTATTCCAAAATTGAATTATTTATTCCAAATGATACCTCTCAGAATCCCTCACAGTTGGTTAGCATTAGTGCAGAGTAGTCTGGCAAATTTTATTAATAAAGGGGGAAAAAAATAGAATTAGTAGATCAACTTTATCTTTAAAAATGAACGATGGAGGATTAAATTTCCCTAATATAGCCTTTATGTATTGAGCAAATGTAATATCCCATAGGTTTAGATCACAGCTAATTACTGCTACAGATGAGAGCTGGTTTAAAATTGAGATGGAGTTGGGACTTAAGAACCCATTAGCCGTACTATGGAATACAAACAAAATCGAAAAAATGGGTATTGACGTTAATAACAACAAAATATGGGCACAGTTGCTCCCGGTTTGGGAAGAGATCAAAAGGAAAATGGGTCTCAAATATGCAATTTTTGATTTCTCAACCCTGGGGTTAATAGAAGCCAATGTTAATTATATCTCTCTGGCCAGGTGGGAAGAGAGTGGCATACACAAGTTATCACAGATTATATATCAAGATAATTTAATGTCTTTTGATTTAATCATACAAAAATTTTCGTTATTGAATGCGGAGATTTTTACCTAAGAATTAAACATTTTTTGCAAAAACATGAGTGTCCCGACTAAAGCCCCAAAATTATTGAAATCTCTTTTCCTAAATGAAGTTCCTGTAAAATTACTAGCTAAAGCAATAGAGGTTATAAGAAATATTAATTATTCAATTATTTACCCTCAAAAAGACAATTGCTTACTAGACCAGCAAGAATGGTGCATTGCTTTAAATAAAGTACGAAAACAGGTGCAATGTTTGAATTTATTAGAAGTCCACTACAAAGTTATTAATAGATGGTATTTAGTCCCAAAGAGATTAGCACACATGTATGGTAATGTCTCTGCCAGGTGTTGGAGATGTGGGAGAGAGAAGGGTTCACAACTCTACATATGGTGGAGCTGTATAGAGATTCAAAATGTAATAAATTCACTCTATAAATTTATTAGAGAAAATACAAACATCATGCTAGATAAGACGCCTGAGGTCATACTGTTACATATGCACTGGCCGACTATGTCACGTAGAAATTAGAGTTTTATAATTCATTGTCTGGTCGCATATAAAATAAGAATTGCTCGCAATTGGAAAAGCACACAAGGCTCACTATGGGAACCTATTAAGGAACAAATACTAACTCAGATTAAAATGGAACGATATTTGAGTATTCCGAGTAAAAAAATTTTTAAGAGACAAGTTTTTGGGCAGGAATGGTTAGCAGAGATACAGTAAGCTCAATAGTACTATACATGAGACCTTTGGGCTCAGACACGATCACCCCCTCCGGACTACGCGGATATATATGTGGGATAAGTGGTATATATTCTATATTACTTGTTATGTCTTTATTTGGCTGTATCCAGTATGTTTTTTTTTTGGCGTTTATTCTTATGGATGTTCTTAAGGTATATGTATATATTTTCTTTGTGAAAAAAACTGAATAAAGAATTTATATTAAAAAAAAATTTGAGATTATTTTGGTTACAGAGCTTAAAAAAAAAAAAAAAAAAAGCATGGGCAAAACCGATTTTATTCTTCGGCTTCGTGAAATGAACAGATGTAAAGAAGATTAAAGAAATAATAAAAGTGAACAGTATTTTACAGCAATTTTGTTTTTCTGGATAGATCAATGACAGAATCATCTTACCACCCATATCTATCCTTCACGTGCTACTAGTCTGAAGGGCATAGGATGGAGGTATAATTTTAATAAAATTTCCAACCCTCAATAGCTGTGCCAATCCTAGAGCTATGCTATAATAGATATAGCCAGGAAAAGAAATTGTTAGAAGTATGAATACATTTTCCACAATACACTAGACAAGAACCATTGTCACTGCAGTTCAAATGTAAAAGTGAAAAAGATTTTCTGGCGCTGGTTTGGTATACGTATAGCAGCAAGGACTTCCCAAATCTCAGTCTCTTCCTTCTTGCCATAGTTATACATAAAGTAATACTGGGAAGTAGCGCTTCAAACAAAATCCTCAGTTTCAGATCCAGATTTAGCAGTATGGAAAGTAAGAGAGAACCCGAACCCCCTCCCCCCCCCAAAAACAGAATGTAGTATTTGGATTAAGCGGTGATAAAATAATAGACATTGCACATACAATTTTCTGGAGCTTAAAATTAGCTCCAGCTATATGCTCCTGGATGGTAAAATCCCTGTTTAAGGATATGCTTATGGTTCTCTACTGAAAGATATCATTAGGTCAGTAGTCTGAGTTGGTGGGCAGCAGTAATGGGGGTGTTCACATTCCGTTTGTTTTAGAGTGACAATATTAGTGCTCCAGTGCATAAAGGAACACAAAACATGAAGTAGTGCTCTCTGTAATATTAGCATTGCCTGCACAGTTATTGACCCTATTGCTTTCTATAGGCTGTCCGACAGACCATAATTAGCAGAGAGGCTTATCTGTCTGAATAGCTGACATTACAGTAACACACTTGTGTAACTACTAATATATTCTCATAGTAATACTGTAATGTAGTGTTATCGACCATGAGAGAGGCTGTATCAAAATTATCAAGAATAAATTTCAGGTTTACACTTGCCCAAACATTCAGCGTGCACAAAATTTTGGATGGAGGGTGGGAAATTTGAGGTATTGGGACTATATAAGAGAATGAAAACACTCTTTGTCATTGATCCAAAAGTTCCAGTTCTTTATTGGATATCCATTGACTGATACAATCCACTATACTTTATAGCAACAAAGAAAAGGTCGGTCGACATTTCAGTGGCACTTGGGAACTTTTCTTAGTAGTGCTGAGCAAAGTACCCAGGTGGGACTGAAATGTCAACCAACCATTCCTGTACTATTGCAAAGTGTAGCTGAAAGTATTGGTCAATGGAAATACAATTAAAAAAAGAAAACAAAAAATTGCATTATTTGGACACTGCCTTGCTGATTCTTGTGAGTCAGCGTGCAAGGACTCCTTGTATTTTTTTGTATATACAATATTTTTCACTCCTGTTCCACCTTATCTGACTTAGAGAGAAGATTATAGTTCATAGTGTCTTGGGGACCTTCTTATTTCTTCACTCATAGAAAACATACAATGTTGTGTTTAACAGCAAGTAAAGACACCAAAGAAGAGAAGGACTTTATTTTATCCTTGAAGACAACTTTAGCTTATTCCTGTTACATACTGCTACAAACACTAGTTAATTTCATTTTATGGAATAAGAATTGCATGAATATAGAAGAGATTCTCAAAATAAAGATTTAACCAGTTTCACACAATTTTCCTGTATACAGTGAACAAAATAAACTGCACCAGGACAGTGAACAAACCTAGTAAAATGGCAAGGATTGCACTAAAGTAACAAAGGAAAAAATCAAAATCACCTCCAAACAAGCAAACATACAGATAATAATCTGCAAATACATTAGAGTTTTTCTTTAATGCAAATGTTCAGAAGAACCTCTAACTTCCATAATGTTTAGGGACAAGTAAAACAATTGGGAAAGGCAACAGATGGGCAAATTTTACTATTTGTAATTTGCTTGACAATTGAGTTGTAATCATAGTCCTGTTTTGCCAGTCTCTACTTACAACATTTCATACCCAAAATATAATTTTTTTAAATCTACAAAAAGCCACTGGTAGCTGCCCTGGATAACTTCACTTGGGTGCTAAGCAGCCATGACCTTTGGTTTTCATATCTCCAAGTTAGTTAAAGCATCACATACTTGCAGTTCTTCCACATTTGAAGACATAACTCTTAAATCACCTGTGTAAGCTGAGTTTGCATTGTGGATTCAACCAAGGTAAAAAATTAAAACTGGCAACTGTGAATCCATTTTTAGAATCAAAACGTCCTCGGCACATTATTATATATATTTTTTTAAAACAAAAATTGCCTGTCAGGGAATCAATACTTTAATTACTACCATCTCACAAATATTAACTATAATGATCAGTGACTGAGCCACTGTCATTTTTATCCTTCAATCCCCTATTTTTAGAGGTATTTAGCTTCCTATTGAAATAGCTAAGAACTCCATTTATGCCTTGGTAAAAGACCTTCTCCCCCTCCCAAACTCTAAATGCATTCATCTAGTTGAGTTTTGACAGTATTGAGGGTCATCTCAATTATTTTATTAGCGCTTAATTGAATGGGCTCAATAATGAACTTTAGCGTTACCTTTAAACATTGATTAGCAATGTCAAAATTTCCTCAGAATTTTTTTTCTCTTTAAATTACCTGACTGTAAAAACAAAACAAAAATAATTTATCCTGAAGCATACAAAGCTAAACGACGTTTAACCGAATCATAGATTTTCTTAAGCTATGTTTAAGCTTTTTTTTTTTTTTGACACTCTTGGTACTATAACCCCTTAGGTTAATTGAAATGGTGAAGTCCCCTGGCACCATACTCCATTTATGAACAGTTTAAAAGTGAATTAGGATACCTGGTGCCCATAGGCCATTTTACTAGCAATGACTGAAGTGAAGTTATGCTCTGTATCCCATCATGGCAAAAAATGTGACAACTGACAGTCATAAGCAAAGAACATCAGAAAAGTAGCAGGACCTCCGGGGCGCCCCCCCACCCCCCTGTTTGAAACTATTTAATAATGGAACAAGTGATAGGGCTCTAGGGACTCCAGGCACCAAAACCACTTCAAGTAGTTGAGGTGGTTATGTTGCACAGTGTTCCTGGACAGTCTGGCATCATATTCAATATAGTATGGAGTAGCTTTAATGCTAGAAAGCTACAAGTGCAATCACCTTTTTGGCAGTTGTCCTTTGCTTTAATATGAACCAAAGAAACGCCCTGTACCCAAAGTCTCTCCCTCTGCCCCCTCCCCCCCACAATTCCTCTAGCTGAGTTATGACAGCATTGAGGGTCATCTTAATTACACTTTTTTTTTTTTTTTTTTTAAATGTAAGATGGGACATAATAGGGAAATCATTCTTATTGATTTTAAACACAGACCCCATATAAATGATGTAGGCTATATGCTTAGATTTGGTGCCACTGAAAGAACACACATTGGCTTGTCTGAATCTTATTTAAATGTTTTTATTACTTTGTGTACATATGCAATGTGCACCAACACTGCATACAAAATGGATTATGACATTGCAACATGAGAAGAAGCTTTGGGTATAGGATTTTTTTTTTTTTTAAATGTATTAAAAACTGCTTAATGCAAAGGAAAAAAAAAAAACATGCAAAAAGGGCTGGATCCACAGCTTTCTAGCACTTTAAGCACTACAGTAAGCAATAGGGATTTTCATGTTCCAAAGGTCATTTTAAAGGGAAAATCACTTTTCTGGAAAATACACCAATAAAAAATATTGGAAATCACCTAGAATTTGTGTTAACCTTTTGCTTGAGGTGCTCTTTTTTTTAGATCTAGCAAATTTAGAGAAGGCACACACTCTTGATGAAAAGAGAAATCCAAACCTAGTTTCAGATCTCCTCTTTTCTGTATGCCATAAGCAGTTACTAACAGCAATTGCCAACAGGGAATTTAGATGGAGATGCCCAGTTCCGTGATAAAGAAGTGTGGGTTTCTACATTTCATCTCACAAATCTACATTTGTTAAATAAAGTTATTCGTAAAAATAAATCCAGGGAAGTGACAATTCCCCTTTAATTTCATGACAAATATTGAAGAGTGATTATGCCATTGTAATACAATAACATTACCCGCACAGAATGATACATGAAGTAGTAAATGTGGCAAGTATAACACAAGTAGTGATGCATCAAGGAAATTAAACGGCATATTTCTACTCTGACAGCTTTGTTTACGCACTTGTTAAATTTGACCCATATTTTATTGGTAAAACTGGCAAGCTTGCCTAAATCCTCTGTCAATCTTTAGTCCATCACATGGAAAGTCAACATTAGACATCTGCAGTTTAGTAATTTACATACTAAATTTGATGTCTAAACCTCATGTTGAAGGCTTCCTTAGTTCTTGCACCCATAACCACCTAGAAACCTACAAGGAGCTAAAGAACACCAAAAGCAACTGTGGTTTATAGTTTTTAAACCCTGTGGTGCATGAACCAGTTCTCTAGTATTGAACATTTCACAGTAGTGACACCTATCCCAGGACATTGACAAATAATTACATTTATATTCAGTTATATGAATCATATATTGGGAATCCTTGTTCACAGGTGATTCTGGTCAGAGACAAAACTGGTTATAAAAAAAAAATACATGTTCAAAATGTAAAGAAACTTTTTAGTTTTTTTACACACAGAGGTGTCAACATGTATAAAATCCAGATTTGAGTGCTTATGGCTTTTGAAATCTTGGCGTTCAATGCATATGGTAAGTTCAACAATTACTTCTTTACAGGCTTATATTGAAAATAAATTAATGTGCATCTCTAATAGTTTTAATCTGCCCTAATGCTGGGATTGAACGATAATATATGAAACACTCAAAAAGACTAGGCAAGTACGGGGGTAAATCTGGTGTCTAATAAGTCTCACAATTATACGGTCAAATTCCCCAGAACCGGTCATCAAATGGATGTAGGCATACTAGACAATTCAAACTAACAATTAAAATGTATACTGCACAAGTTCCCTTCCAAGTTTATAGTAAAAAAAAAGCTTGGTCTTCACAAATCTCACAGTTCATCTAACGAGAACTTCTGGGTTAAGAAAATAAATGTTACATCTTCCTTCACAAGTAATGCAGTCTATTTTAAATAAAGACAGCCCCCCACCCCACAAAATGGCATTCAATTTGCTGCTCCTTGTACATTACTAAAATGCCTATGAAACACCACTGTCACCTTCAAAGAGGTACAGATATTATAGGATAAGAGCAAAAATAACACTTGATTGACTGATCAACATCTTTGCATTTTAGAAACTTTAAGACATTATTTTATTCAATAATGAATGAATGGAAAAAAAATATAAATAAAAATGTATGTATATATGTGTCAGGTGCCTGTGCAGGGGAGAAATAATGCAAATCAACTGCGAAACCATTTCCACAAAAATAGCTTGACAAATTGCATTTGCAATTTCTATTGTTTAGGACACTAAATGTAGTGAAACACTGGGAGACCAGAGAGGCTTGTACAAAGACTTCGCAAGAACCACCTCCATAGAAGCAATTATTTAATCCTTTCCTAAGTGTTTACCAGATGCACCAAAACGTGTCCCCTCCTAATCCTGTTTGACTGTAATAAACAAATGTTCTCTGTCAGCTATTGGTTATCAGGCTCTGAAGAACTGTAATCCAACCGCAGGTTGAAGACCATGTTGGACTTTTTTTGGCTTTTAAACAGAACATTGATAATGTGGAGATGTATAGGTTTTCTTTTAAACATCAATCACCTGGAGAGACATTATTAATGCAACACTGATTTTGACATGTTCCCTTAAATCCCTGTTGATATAGCAAAGCAATATGCTGGGGGTTTTAAGGGTCTGTTTGACCCATTGTAACACTGTTTCACTATATTTCACTACTTGTAATTAGTGATTTTTTAATTAATTTTTTTAAACTTACGTCTGATAAACTACATTATCATACTGATTTAATTAAAACACGTGTAGATTAATTAAATAAACTTTTCATTATTGTTTCAAAACAATGGAAGTCATTCCTAAAATAATTTTTTTTTTTTTTTTTTTATAGGGCTACTGACCCACCATATGTACATGTTTTAGAGACGCAGATAACATTCAAGTCAGTTCACCACTTAAATTAAATCATAGAAAATACACTTGGTATAGCCAAATCAGAAGTTGGAAAGGCAAAAATGTGGAGAGGATTCAAAATTCCTGCCTTCCTGATTAAAAAGCATATGGACTAATCTCAAAGCCCAAAAGGTTAGTGCTTAGAGCATTCTCTACATAGAAGGCTTGCTTTCTACTGCTAACAAAACCAGCAGGTCAAGACTACTTTTGGGGACAATGAAGGAAAAGACTGGGAAAAGTGAGCTTAATCTAAAAAAATACAATTCCCACTGTTCTTCATTGGAAAAAAAGCCTGTGTTTAACATGGAATGCCAAACACACATTTGCATGATTACTCAAAATATTGTAAAAATAATTAGAACAGCACCCAAAACGTCAGTTTTTGATAAATAAACATTTTACCAGCATACTCCTTATCTGTCTTTTCCCCATGGAGTATTGTGCAAACTAAAAGTACCCAAGACTAGACCTAGATGGGCAAAAAAAAAAAAAAAGTTATCAGTCTTCTTCCTGATAGCTCTGTTTCAGCACAATTACTGCCAACACATGCGGGCTCAAGTTCAAATATATGGCTGTATGCAACATAAGCAATAAAAATATGGAGATAAAATAAAACAGAGGCTGAAGAATTACAGTAGAACCATCGCCATTTCTGTTGTAGATGTGAAGCTTTTGCTTTCTGCAGGAGCATTTGTATTTGTCAAACACACATTAACCTGCATTTTGAGCCGATCTTTAAGTCATACAGATTTATCTTTGCAATAAGACTTTTTGTCCCTCCCCAGGTGTCAGAAAAGGATTACACTTTGGCTATCAAAGTGTTAGGACACGACAGGGAAAGCAAATTTGAAATCATATTTAAGGAAGAGCTGTAAGAAAAACCATTGAGTTGTGCACTATGGACTGAAACTATCCTGAGGATGCTTGTTATGCGTGGTCACATCCAAGTCCAGACAATGCCGATTAAAGTGAGGTCTGTGGAATTGTTAAAATGCATTTGAAGCTCTCTCCAAAGAAGGCAGTGTGCTACCTCTTTGCACTATGTCCAGGCTGTACATTAAGTGCAGAGTCTTGCAACATTTCAAAAATACATTGTGTTTTAATTTTGTCAAACAATTATATTTGTCCTATTTACATGAAGTTCTATGTGCAGGAATCCTTTGGAGGCAGTAGTTTATTTGAAAAGTAAGCGTTCGTCAATTTTGAAGCGTTTTTTTCGAGGTACCACAAATTCATCATCAGAGTCCTCACTTGCAAGAAGATCATCCTTGTAGTGCCCAGTTTTAGGGAATTTTCTATCATTGTAAATATTTACAAGAAGCCCATCAAAGTACTCCTCTAGTTTGATACCAGCTTTGGCCACTTCAGAATCAGGCTGTGAAAAGACAAAAACGAAAAAAAAAAAAAAATATTGATTTAAAATTTCCAAAGCTTTACTTCAAAAGAAAATGACAAGGATATAGGAATCTGAAATGTAAATAACATTTGAAACATCGCAGCACCCAAATATGTAAATAAATTTCTCTTACTTCATTAAATTCCATACAGTTTTTGAAGATAAGTCTGACATCACTAACAAACTCCTCTGGACGTGAATAGTTTGGTGAGCTGTTTAACTGGAGTTTGCGTTTTATGGCGGAAAGATCCATTGGTCTTTTGATTATTCTGTAATAATCAGGCACCTGGAAAAAATATCATCCAATGAGGACAGAGTACAGAAATTACAAAAGTTACATCTGCTATCAGTGATGCCACTGAAGGGGACACAAGCCAACTACTAGGTAATGACTATTGTAAACACAGGCAAAATAAAGGAGAACTCCAGTCACCATAACCCCTATAGCCAAATGTAGTGGGTTTGATGTCAGGAGTGCCCTTGTGCCACCCTAATGTCAAACTGTTTTACAATTGTTTGACAACTTGCCTTTTGCAACTGCAAATCTGGAGAGTCCATATCACACTCGCCATAGCTGAATTTCTTCTTTCCAGGGCTAAATTATCACTTGCTAATGGAAAGTTTGAGCTCCGATTTACAACATGCATTAAAAAGGGAACCTTGTATTACAACTACTAGTGCAGATATTTTGTTTTAGACCAAAATAGACTGGGACCATTTTATCTCAGCAACAGTGTAAATTAATATTTCTCCCCATTAAATTAAGACAGCTGCTCTGAACATACAGTTAAAGTAGATGTTTTTGACAAACAGATGTAATGAGAAAAAAGTTAAATAAACTGCAAAAATTATGAATTTTAATTAAAAGGGCAGGGAACTTATGTCGCCTCTAAACCTTAGGTAAATTAAATTTAAGGCGAGTACACATTTTGTTTTGCCACACAAACAAAAAAAAACAAAACCCTGAGATTCTACTCTTCTACATTAACCTCTTCTAGAATGGTCTTCTGGACATTAATCTTTACCACACTGAAAGAAAATGGGATGATGCTCCACCCATCGGCCTAGCGTCAGACTATCTAATTTGTTCCTTCTGGATAATTTTCTTTTGTATTTGGTTTTCTCTTCCCATCTCTTTATTACCTTCTATAGAAATGCTTCTTACATAGGCTAATATTTTTGAGAAAAATAAAAATAAAATTTTACTCTAGTTTTGATTTCGTCTTTCCTTGTGGTAGGGCTTTTTACCCTCTCTGCCAAGGACGAACCAAACAGATATCCTTCTACAAACTGTAAATCCCAAAAAACTATCTAGATGGAGGATCTGCCAGAAATGTAGTTATACTGTATTTTATCTCACCATAGCCAGTCCCAATGATCTTACAGATAATCTGGAACTTTTTGAAGACGCATTACAAATTCAGAAGCTAATTTAACATTATGTGGGAGCTTGATGGGATCCTGATCTGTTTCTTTGAACAAGGCTCTTAGAAATGTTTCTAGCCAGATTCTCTGGCCTCTATTTTAAACAGAGGACTTTCCTATTGTGGTTGAACCCATATCAACCTATGTGACTGCCTTATCCAGAACCCTGTTGTACCGATTTCCTTTCCAGCACCCAGCAGTACAAATAGTAGGACCCAGAGAAAATTTAAGCTGACATCTGGCCAGGAACACGTGCCAAAGCGAAATGCTGTTGCAATCTCAAGTACAACCACACTCCGTACACTCTACTGTTTGAGCTGGGAAATCCCTTTGAGTTGGGGTTAGAAAGGCAAGGGTTAATGCAATTTTAGGATTAGAGGTAGGGATTGTTTGATACTTTCTGCCAATTATTAGAGTTCATGCTCTGAATATTTCTTATAGTCTGAATCAGTCTTGTAATTTACAATTACCGTGAGGGCAGACGGACACTATAGTATTAGGAATACAAAACTGTGTTCCTGACAGGATAGTGTTCATTTAATGCTATATCTGTGTAAAAATTTTTGCTTTTCAAAACTTTAAGTGTACAGAATATTGGCAACATATATCGGTAATCACCCTGAATGGTGACCGATAATCTGTATTGTCTCTGGAAAATTGAGGTCAGTCGATCCATAGTTATAGTGTAGGTGAATGGTTGGAGCCAAGGTTAGGGGGTACGGTTGGTATAGAGTTAGTGTTAACTACCAAATGTAAATCTAGAGGAAGCATAAATCAGGATTTGAGTCAACATGTAAATCTATTTTGGGTACTTTTTCTTTAATTGCACTTGATGTGTAGGCAAAACTAACAAAATTCCCCCCACTCATACTTACAGTAAGTGGTACGGGGTCTTGGAAGGCAAGGCTCATCTCATGGCAGAAAAGATGTAAGAGAAGTCTCTCGCACTTCTAGAGAAAATGAAACCACACCAATATTAGAAAAGATTTTTGAGAAGAAATACCAACTTACCAAGTTTGTAATGTTTACATTTAGAGGCTTTTTGTGACATCTCCAACAGCAAGTTTAAAAGTTCGCTCGTTTCATTGTTCTTACCCGACAATTTTCTTTAGGATAGTGAGAGCCCACAAGTCATAACATATTGGATGTAGTCCCTCCCAATTGGAGAAGGAAAGAAGACAATGCAACACTTAAAATGACTTCTTCCTCTACAGTTACTTTCTCTTTAAGCTTAATTCTATCCCATCTAGAGGCCTCACATACTGTGCATCAAATCAACTCCAAACATTTCTTACAATTTCCTACAAGCTATGAGGTACTGTGGACAGCTTTGAAGACAGTAAAGTACCATTATTCTGCCTATTGTATAGCCCACTGTGGCTACATATTTTTTTTTTCTTGGTGACTTTTGGCTTCTTTACTTTTTCATTGCAATTTTCTGTACATGCAATACACTGCATTCTGTATATGCAGTTTACTAGTATAAATTATTTGACAGATTGCTCAACAGATTCAAACTTTTTTTTTTCCCCTATCAATTTTAAACACCACGCAGGCTTGAAAGGTAGCTATCTGGACAGTATTGTGGGATATCCAAGACATATGAAAACTGTTGTGGGAACTGTACTGAAAGCTTAAGTGGCAGCCATGGAAAGATCACCTCAAGGATCCAGAGGTTTTTACCGAGACCCGTCACAAACCTCGTGGAAGTGCTACAGATGTCCCACCATCAATTATCTGCCATTTAGGAGTTAAAATACTTTTGCTTCTATTTATGCAGCCCTGATCACACCTCCCTTGGCTGTGACGGACACAGCCTGCATGGAAAAAAAAAAAATGGTTTCACTATCAGATATTTGCAATAAAGGAAGTATACACAATAGATGACTTTACAGGAAGTGTTTAGGAAAGCTGTGCAAGTCACATGCAGGGAGGTGTGATTAGGGTTGTATAAACAAAGTTTTTAATCTCCTAAATGGCAGAGAATTGAGCAGTGAGACTGCATGGACATGATCTATACACCAAAACTGCTTCATGAAGCTAAAGTTGTTAAGGTGACTATAGTGTCCCTTTAAGGCACAAGGTCTGTCTAGCTACAATACAACAGTCCATAGGCTTAGCATTAGGGCACACTACCTCTGCCAAGGTATCACACAGAAACCCATATCATGTATGAAGATACAGTATCCTCAGGTGCATCACTAGGGGTGTGTGGAAAGCACAGAAACATGCTTGACATTTGAGAAGTCAAGTGTCAAAATTCTGAAGAGGGGCAAAATCCTCAAATAAGGTGGGGATTGGAGGTGAGCCATGCAAGTTGGTCTATGAAACGGGGGACCAAAGTATGAGCACAGAAGGCATGGTGCTAACCAAGTCCACAATAGTGGCCTAAGCATAGAAGCAATAGCCCCAAATCCAGCATTAACAGGATCATTTTTATATTCCATGTAGCAATCTGCACAATAATTACTATTTGGCTCGACATCTTGCTCATAAATAGTTGCACTTTTTAGGCTATGTGGTGGCAATAACAATTGAGAAGTACTGTATGATGATTTGTAATAGGTACCTGTCCAGACACGGAGTTGAAAGCACTACATAAATCTACAATTCCATATGGACCCATACCAACTAAATTAATTCACAATTATTAAAACTTTTCCAGCACTGAATACAGAAACTGCTAGGAGCAAATATGTAATGGCACTGGTACTTATTAAAATTATTTGAAACAGTACTTACTCGTTGATCAATAGGTGGCATGCTTTGAATTCCTGCCAGTTTTTTCTTCTCCATGAGGGACGGATCATCACAATCATAATCCACTTCTGGTCTGGAAAGATCACGGCAGAAGGTGCAGATCCATTCTCCACTAAGATATAAAAAATAAAAAAAATTCAATATACGGTAATAACATTTTATATCAATGTGGCTGTATCAAACATAATGGTGTCAGCATGGGGAAGAAAAAAAAACATTATACCAGCAACTAACTTTTGGAGAACATAGCTCTTTAACCCCTTAAGGACACATGACGTGTGACATGTCATGATTCCCTTTTATTCCAGAAGTTTGGTCCTTAAGGGGTTAAAAACCTTCCACAACAGTAATATCTGTAAAATGAGGTTAATTCAATTCTTTACACAGTATAACATTAACAGTGTTTTTTGTTTTTAAGACACTTTGATAGACATGTCTGCTATTCTCTATTCAGGATGAAGATACAAAAACTATTAGAGGAGTGAATAATAAATAACTATCAATTGTTACTAGCAAATTTCCATTTTCAGATTGGACCTAAAAAAAAACCTTTGTTTCACGGTGTCTTCTAAAAAGGTGGCTGTATGAAGCCGTAAAACAAGCAGTGCATTATCCATTTATGTTGTGTTGTTTTTTTTTTCCAGTTAGTTATAAAATACCATTGGTTTAAAACACGGAGGCCTATATCATGCATTGGAAAAGTGCCCGAATTCTGCATGTTTGTTCTGTTTTATTACTTTACTCATCAGCCTGTCTCCAGATATTACAATGTCTTAAGCCTTGCAGTGAGGTAGTCAAATATCCAATTTCCATTCTTTATTTTTGCTATACCACCAAAAAACCCAAACTCTTCAAAACAAGTGTTTTTTTAATTGCATTTAATTTAGTAGACAAATTGTCAGACACCCCGTAGTAAAAAAATATCCATTTCTTAGGGTGACTTGCAATAAATAAAATTATACAAGTAATTATTTTAAGAGCGTCACTGACACTGTCTCAGGTTGTCTGACATAAATACTCTTGATTGATTTAGCACTGTGCCCTACAGTACAGTATTGTTTTATTTAGTTACCAGACACACTGTGCAACCCCAACTTACGCTATACGAATATGCAACATGCAATCCTCAAAAATCATGTTAGGCGTTTTACTTAAACAAGTAATATTTTTAGGGAAGGAACAATATAATCCTTAGTACGTGGCAAAGACAGAATCTATGTAGACCTACTCAGTCAAAATTTACCTTAATAAGGATAGAAGTGATTGGAAATGCTGTAGCATTAGACAAGAGTCTCAGGATTCATCATTTGTAAAGATATAAAATTATCTTTTCTTTTCTCTGCCATGACACCACTCATGGTATGTGGAGGTGCTCAGTCTATACTATTACAGCAACTCACCTGGGGAAGTTCATCAGTGTAGGCACATGGCATGAAATATGGAAAACCTTTGGACATTTATCACAGCAAAGCAACTCCCCTCCATTCTGGCACACTGCACACCAATCTTCATTAGGATCATCATCTTTGCCACCCTCTGTTGCCCGCCCCTGAGACATCCAGTCATTTGTTGCGGTGTAAGGACCTTCCTGCACAACATGTCTGTCGCCAGTGCTGTCTGGTGCATCCCTCCTAGAGACAGTGTCTTGCTTGGATATCCGATTTCTGTTGTTGTCTAGCAACATTGATGTTAAGATGCTGCCTGAAAATTCAGACTTTGGGGTGGGGGGAGAGGGAATAAATTATGAGTAATATTAAAAGAAAAAAGTTTAAAGTCAGATGATGATTATGTGATATATAAAAGCTTAGTAAAGTTCTAGATTTGTACCAAAATGAGCCACAGTTACAAAATACACTCATCTCAAAGTAAAAATTCAACAGTTAGTACACAACAGTTGATACACAATGGAATGAAATCCTGGAACGGACGTGTTTCAGGGTAGCTAGTGAATTGCATAAAATCCCATGACACCTGTCTGGAAGTCACTAGATTAAACATCCAAACATAGTCTTCATTTTATCCAACTTTCTCACAGCAATTACAGTTGCAGAACAGTACAATAACCCAGCCAATGGATAAGAGGACAAAGCCTAAATGATAAATTCTGCACTGTTGCACTTTGCTTGAGAACTGGTAAAAGGAATTAGGATAAATTTAGCTGAACAGCTTAAAACCATGTATGGACAGCACGGACTTTGGTAGACCTATGATATTCATCTTCTAACTAACTTGGGGTCTAGCAGATAAAATTATTTTTAAAAATTAAAAGAAATAAAAATAATCCATATTGATGGATGGATGGATTTGGTGCGCAGGTTTCAGCTGGGTAGATTTGGTGAAGAATGATTTGAAGGCATTAGCCACAAACTGGACAACTGGGGATGATGGCTCTTATCTTCGTTAAATACAATTGAAAAAAAAATTAGACAGGCATGTGATTTAAAAAAAATTAAATTTACAACAAATTTTAATAGTTCAATTAAAAGATTCATGCTTACATTTTGGGATGCTTGCAGTCTACGCCTGTTCTCCTGTTTAACAACTACCACTGGGTATTCAAAAGGCTCATTCTCTGCACTGTTCTCTGGTTTAATCCTAATGGGCTCAAGTCTGACCACTGGAACCTTATGCGTTGAATCTGCTCCTCCTGTAGGTTTGCCTGAAGAGCCAGAACTAGCCAAATAAAAAGAAAGAAAAAAAGGTTAGTTAGATGTAACTCATTAAGGAAATATGGCATATATGAAAAAAATTAAAAAAAATAAAAAATTCTCTGCCATGACACAAAATGCTGCAAACTGACTATCAGCAAACCCAAGCTCAATGCATATTCTGATTCTGTGTGCTAGTTCAATTGAACATGTAATTACCTTTCCCTGCTTCCAATGCTGGATGCACTCGACGTACGGATTGGTGGATGAATGCCAGCCATGGACCCTAGAAGAGAACAAACAACAATTATCTGGTTTCCTATTTTAAAAATATCATGTGATATTAAATTAACATTAAAGGGAAACTGTAGTGTTAGGAATACATACCTGTATTCTTAATGCTACAGTACTAATTTCCCTACTTCGTTTCAGTGATCCACCCCAGTAATTAGGTTAAACCACCCCCCCCAAATAAACAAAAAAAAGAAAAAAACAAAAAAGGCAAACAAATTACTTAACTTCTCTCAAGCGCCGAATCTCGTTCGGCACTGCCCCTTTCTCGCCTGATGTCATCCTGCAGGCGTACCTCCAGAATGACCGTCTCAGCCAATTCTCCTAATAGAGAAGGACCGAGAACCGGAAGAGCATGGATGGCACTCGCCGTGATGAGTCTATGATTTTGCTACAGAGAATCATAAATGCATGAACGCATGATATAGTATACTAAGGTATGAGAGCTGGGAAGTAACACTCCTGGCTCGAATACCCAGAGTGCTTGAAGCTGCCATTCAAAGTCTTCTATTTAGCAAAATAAAAGACTGCGTAATTAAAAGTTTGTATAGGGAGTAATAGTGTTACTTTAAGAACAGCATACATGGTATAAAAAAAAATTTCTGAATATTTTACTACCCATTAGTAAAACATAAAAATGTACATTAAATGCAGTTGTGCATATCATGCATGCCTAAGATAAATTGCAAATTAAATTTAAAAACAAAACTATGTTTATAGAGCATCAAAACAAAACCAGTATAAATAAATAGAATATCAAAATGTAACCACCACAGAGAAATATTTCTTAGTTTTGATCTACATGTCTAGAGCTAGGAGAATACTCAAATGTCTCTTTCCTAGCAACTTTTACATTGCTCTAAATGTATCCTTACTTTGAAATACATTTTTTTTTTAAATGCCTAACTCATGTGCAAGTCATTTGTTCTGCTAGAATTTTAACTTCTACACTCTACACATATCCCATGTTCCAAAATAATGAATTATATTTTGTAAAGATACCAAAGTTACACATAAAAGTTAAATACTTTGGGTACAGCAAGAATAAAATGCAATTATTGTTATGGTTGACCCAGACAGAAAAGCTATGCCTAGAACATTTACTTGAGAGATAAGGTTTAATCTTGTTTGTTTAAAGTTACCCTCACAAATAACAGACCAAATTCAAACTAGTAAAAAATAAAATAAAAAAAATAAATAAAAAAAAAGCTGTTGTAAAGTTTCCAAAGCCTGTCTGAAAGTGAACCTGTCAAGACCAATTCATCTCAAACAATGTTTCCTAAAGCAATAAATATATAATTTATCAAACAATTTATATATTTTGTGGATTAGGAACAGTTGTACTCGCATTTTCTGCAATGTGCCAGCGCAATCACCAAGGTTCATGAGTATTATTGTACTACACAAACAAAAATCCTCCGCCATGATGCTAGTCATTGCAAGTCCATTGGTGTCCGGAGGTATATCATATGACCACAGCAAGAGGAAGATTAGGGATAACTAGAAGAATAGCACAGTGATAGCAGGAAAACTGCTTCTAGGAGGGTTCTCCTGCACTACCCTGTCACTCAGCTGTCAGCAAAGATTCTTATGTCTGCAGCATTAACAACTGACAGATGAGGGACCATGTAAGCTAGAGTTGTGTGTAACATGACAAGTAGATGGTCACTTGACTGTTACTTATTTTTCTCTAAAAGATCTAGATATAGATATTAAATATATACATTTTAGAGAAAATATATTCTTAATACATACACCTATATCTTTTTTCTGAATTCTTTTGTTTATAGTGATTTTAAAGACAAAGTAAGAGTGAAAGGTGCACACAAGTACAAGCAGCACAAAGATAATGTCAGATGCCCACCATGAATCTAAATATTTACTAGAACAATATAGCGTTAGGAATACAAGTTTGTAATCTTAACACTACAGTTTTTCAATTAATATTCTTTTAAAATTGGAACAATAAAATACTGAACTCCCAAACAAAAAACACAACAACAAAATGAGTTATTTAACCCCTTAAGGACTGGACTGTTTTTGTGATGTTGTACATTTGCGACCAGGCATATTTTTACACTTTTGTGGTGTTTGTGTTTGGCTGTAATTTTCCGCTTTCTCATTTACTATTCCCATACAAATTATATATTGTTTTTTTCAGGACAAAAGGGGCTTTCTTTACATACCATTATTTATATAATCTCATGTATTTTAATTTAAAAAAAATAAAAAAATATGATGAAAAATTGAAAAAAATACATGTTTTTTGACTTTTACTTGAAAAATCTTTTACTCATCTACAAAAGCGAATGAAAAAAACTGCTAAATAGCTTCAAAATTTTGTCCTGAGTTTAAAAATACCTAGTGTTTACGTGCTTTTTGCATGTTATAGGGCTATAGGTACAAGTAGGATATTGCGGTTTCAAAACATACATTTTTAAAATTTATCAATAGTGACATTGTAACACTATTATCTGTCATAAATCTCTGAATAACAGCCCACATATACATATTTTTTTTAAAGTAGACAACCCAGGGTATTCAATATGGGGTATGTCCAGTCTTTTTTAGTAGCCACTTAGTCAAAAACACTGGCCAAAGTAAGCATTCATATTTGTTTGTGTGTGAAAAAAGTAAAAAAACTAAATTGAACGCTAATTTTGGCCAGTGTTTGTGACCAAGTGGTTACTAAAAAAGACTGGACATACCCCATTTGCAATACCTTGGGTTGTCTTCTTTTGCAAATGGTATGCCATCATGGGGGTAATTCTCATTCCTGGGCTACCATACGCTCTCAAAGGCAACGTAACCAACCTGGCCATTTTCAATGTAAAAATATTTGACCCATATATTTGACCTTGTAACTTTCAAAAATGCTATAAAACCTGTACATGGGGGGTACTGTTTTACTCGGGAGACATCGCTGAACACAAATATTAGTGTTTAAAAACTGGAAAACGTATCACAACAATTATATCATCAGTAAAAGTGCTGTTTGTGTGTGAAAAATGCAAAAAAGTAACTTTCACTGACAATATCATCACTGTGATATGTTTTACTGTTTTGAATCACTAATATTTGTGTTCAGCGAAGTCTCCCGAGTAAAACAGTACCCCCCATGTACAGGTTTTAGGGTGTCGTAGAACGTTACAGGGTAAAATACAGTGCTAGCAAATTCAATTCTCTGGAATTTCGGCCTGGGTTGGCAGGCAGGTCCCTCAAATTGCAATCAATAAAATTACTGAATTATGTAAAAATATTACATAAATACGCACGTAGAATTTAAATATATATGCATATTTATATATTTGAAGTCTACGTGTATATTTATATAATTATTTATGTAATTTTGTATATGGACGTATGTATATTTCTTATTATTTGTATTTATTTTTATATACATAGATATATATACAAATTCATTCTAAGTGTATTTTGATATAAATATATATATATATTAATTTTAAAATACAGTTAGAATAAAATTTCATATAGCTATATAATTTTTTTAAATTTTATTATTATTATTTAAAAAAAATTTATTTAATTTAAATTACTTATTATTTATATTTTATAATAATATATATATACACAATATATATAGTTATTATATATATTATATATATACACACGTGTGTAATTTAATTATAAGTGTATTTTTATATTAATATTAGTACATAATAATATAAAAATACACTTAGTATGGCATTATATATATGATATATAGACATTATATAGATATAATATATGTCTATATATCATATATACACATATAATTATTTTAATTTTTTTTATTAACATTAACTTTATTTTTTTTTCTGATTTTACACTTGCAGGGAGAATGCCTGTCAGCACAGACAGTCCCCCTGCAGGCAGACACATGGACACCTATTGTGACCATGTGATCGCTGTGTTAAGCGATCACATGGCCACAGGGGTCCTAAATCAGTGTGGGGAGACTGTCTGGGCTGCAGGCAGTCTCCCCACAACCGGAGCCACGCTGATCGCCGCCGGGGGAACGACGGCGATCAGGTAAGTAGCTCAGACCGTTAGGACGGTTCAGGACCGTCATCGGTCGGCAAGCCAAAAATGTCGATGACGGTCCTGAACCGTCCTGGGTCGGGAAGGGGTTAAATTTAACTGGTAACTCAAACGGCCACATGTGGACGACACAGATGTAATGGTTATTGGACAATTGCTTACAAGGTCATTCTCAAAGACACCGGTAAGAGTGGATACTTAAAAATACATGCTTGGAAAAACTCCAATATTCAGGATTAACCTTTGTGGGAGGCATTTGGTACTTAAATTTTGGCCAATTTCAGTCAAGAAAGGCTATAATTTGCTGGTGCCCCACTTAATCACAATTTGTAATTAAAACTGCAGGCTGATACATACTTTTAAATAATCACTCAAGGAACTATAAAATATGACAAAGTTGCTTAGTTACTGGTAGAAAAGAAGCCAAAAGTACCTAGAGGCGATGGCACAGAAGAATTAGGGGACTGTACAGTTCGGTGTGACAGCATTCTCTGATGATGGTTGTCCACATGGCTTTCTTTACGCATCATGTTATCCATAATGGTGTTGCCAGTACTGTCGATCTTTCAGAAGCAAAATAAAAATCTTGTATTAAATCACGTGAAATACTTTAAAATGTCAATAAAAAAAAGTTACAACATACAAGTGAATGATAGGGCATTGCAAGTCGTTATCCATAAATTAATCTGCGAGAGGACAGCTCTACATCATTCACAGAAAAAGATTGCAGACATGCTCATAAAGAAATCCTAAGGTCTCCTCGTACAACATTACACTACCTGCCTTTCTATGCATCAAATGAAATGTTCCATTACACAACATTTCCCATTGCAAATGCTGTGGACTACATTTCCTGACTACACAAAACCATTGAATATTCTAATGATTGGAGAACACCTTGATTTGATTAAATAAATGTTCCTCTTGGCTGTAAATAGTAGAAAATGGCATGTTGGCATGGATGGAAGTTTCACTGGCTGGTGTTCAAGTATCAGAGGACTGGCATGGTGCCCGATTGTAGGCTCCCAGATGGACTTATTCAACATTTAGATTTTAGCTGCTCTCCTGCATTTTAACACATATACCTGTTATAGATCCACTATCCACAAAAAGTAAATACCCATAAATCACTTGTGCAATTTCATTATTACCAATTTATTAATTTAAACTTACATCAGGCAAGGGAGGAAGGTTGAATGAATTGGCAGCAGAAGTTACCAAATCAATAATGGGTGAAGAGAGACTCTTCCGATCACTACCAGCAACACTAGTAATGGTGGGACTGGACGGAGTGGACGTAGAGTTGTTGGCTGATGAATTTACAACCGCAGGGCTTCCGGTGACCTGCCACTTAAAGCAAAGACATTTTGTTATGGGTATATGCAAATATTACAAGTATTTAGAATGAAAAGATGTATTCTTAAACTGTGTACTTTGTCTTTAAGAGATTTTGCAAACTGACAATGTTAGAAATGGAAAATATTGTTTTCCATACAATGTTTCTTTAATAAATGACCTCTTACCCATATTCAGTGAATATGGTGTTCAGACTTTAGGACGCCATTTTGTCCTAGGTTAGTGGAAATCCTCATGTCAGGGAATTTTCCACGTTAAGTTTTAGTCTAAACATAAAATATTCCCATATGAAACAACAAAGTTACAGCCTTGTATCTTTGCCAAGTTAAGGTAGGTCCTATCATGACCTACTTGAAAATCTAAGGTATAAATGTGTACTTCTTAATATTAGGACACAAGTGATTTTTGGAGACTGAGACGCTGCTCCATTTTATCATGACTGAGAGGTTGACATGTCCATGAGGGTATGTTATTCTATTTTACGGATACTTTAATCTTATAAACTCTGCTATTAAATATTGTAATGGATTATTGAGGTTTTATATATAATATAATATTAAAAAAAAAAAAAAAAAAACTTTATTGCTTCCATGACAATCCCTATTTAATATTGTATTCTCACTTTATATATATTATATAGAGGAACCCTTACGAACTATATTGTGGCTAAGATTTCTGTACGGTAAACCCTGTTAAATTCTATGCTTTAAGATGTTATAGTGGTAAAGAGGGGAACCGGCTGCGGTTACATTTATTATATTTTGACTTTAATATGTTGCAAACATTACAATCACGGGAAAACAAACAACAAATGCATACACTAAATGATTTAACAGAAGTGTGGAACACTGCTGTGGGTTGTGCTCACCTAAGGCACACCCCAATACACACTTACAACAATTACATTGATCAAGACTCAACATTTTAGGTCTTGGGCAACTAGCCACGTCTAAAAGATACTTGCTACCACAAACAGGATTTTTTGTGAGTGACAATTTCCTTCAGAATTTGCTTTATAGCACCAGGACAAATAAAAGCACTAAACACACACAACTTGTAAGTGAGGAGGACTGAACCATTAATAACATTGTTCCTCCTCCTTTTAATAGAAAAATATTTTCCTTCAAAATGAGAGTGTTGACTATTGCTGTTCCGAGAGGAGCAGAAAATGTGGTGTGCTTCCATCACTGAATATAGCCATTACTACTGCACATGAGCATCACATTACAGAGGATAATAAGCCACAAAACTGCATCCTGTATTCTAACAAAACCAAGCCACATGGAAGCAAGGAGACTGAAGCACATGCCAATTCTACTCTTCAGATTTGTTTGATTTACTATACTGCCAACTTCTGTGCCAATGGAGAGGTGGATAAACGTTACTTTCATGTTTCAATTTCCATTCACCTTTTATAAGTGGAGAGTAAATAATTTGCTACCTGCGTATATTGCCAACAGCTTTAGTTTGTACCTTTATGTCAAATGCATTGAAGTAAACTGAAACCCCGAAAACTAAAAAACAATTTGTTTGCTATCAAAGTGGGTAACAGAAAACACAAATAAAAGGTGTTATAAAATGCTTTCACTATAATAAAAAAAAAACAAACAAAAAAAACAACAAAACACTGTTTTAGCACATCAAGTAACATTGAACCACATTTAAAAATATGCTAAAAATGTTTATGTCATAGATCTTTAAAAAGTGCAGTTTCATTGATCGTAAGAAACAGCACAGGGTTGTTGTTTTTTCTACCTGTTTCATGGCATGCTGTGCCATAAATGCCACACGGACAGGGTTGGGAGCTGGTCTCCTTGTCATATTTTGCATGTGCTGCATATTCTGCAGTTCATGTGCAGCCTGAAGATTGTGAGGATATCGCACTGGTTGATTGGGCATCATGCCATTGGCTCTTGGGTTCATGTTCTGAACATTTACAAACCGCTGCATCTGGAAGAAACAGATTTTATAGCTACTAGTGTCCATAGCAAAGTAAAATGCATAACAAAAACAGTTTTTTGTGATATTACTTTAGATGTTGCAGTACAATTTTTTTTTTTTTTTTTACAATTAAATTTTTGGTCAACACCAAATCATAACTCTAACAATTTTAAGAGAAGCAGCAGATTATAGTGACAGAACCAAAATGCATCCGAGCAATTATCACAGTAAAACATAAAACCATGCAAGAAATGAGATACCGCTATTTTTAGAAAATGAATATGAGTAACTACACCTGCATATCCGTTACTTTGGGATTTGTGCATGTCACTTGATAACCACATCTAATATACACACACATTTTAGCCCATTGGGAATTAATTACTGTTTGCATGCTAATGGATACTTCAAACACCAAAACCACTAAAACTTGGCAGAAGTCCACAGTAAGAACTAAAAACCATATAAAAAAAATGATTTAACAACTTAACTGGGTTCCCCAGGCACCCACACTGCATCTAGTCTCTATAGAATGAAGCATGGCTGATTGAGGACTACACTCACTGACCGAGCGCTCCGCTCACATTTTTAGACAATAAGCACTGTCTTGCATTGCTTAGCTCTATAGAGCTAACAAGATTTTTCAGCTGACGAAGACCAGAATCAGGTGCTGTAGTCTCGGGCACCCAATGAGACCCACGTAAGCGGTTAATCTATAGCAAAATGTTTTAGCTACTTCTCATGTGATGGCACCAGGACACGTCTGGCACAATACCCACTACAGCTGGCCATAGTGGTCATAATTATTGAAGTGCTACTTTAAAGTTCCTCTTTCATAGCCCTACCTAATTACATGACATACAGATAAGCATTATGGGACTATTCTGTTATTTAAGATCCACCATTTGTCAAGCATAGGAAATTCACAGATGACCAAGTAGCCTCTACTTTTTCTTCTGCACCAAGGGTACATAAAAATGGAGAATACCAGATTCAGAATGAGTGGAAGAAAAAAAAAATCTATTTAGAAAAATAAAGTATGTCAAGACAATGCCGTTTTTACTTTAGGACTTAATGCATAAATGTATAAAATAGCAAGCGGAGATTAAAAGAAAAAGTCACTGCTTTTCAAATAAAATAACAAAACATACCGATTACATATATATCTGTACTAATAAAGGGTTGTGTATTTTCAAGGCAAGGGAAAAAAAAACAAAAAACACAAAAAGACAATAACAAAACAGCTTTAAACCTGATTATTCGTATGAGGCTGGTTTTGCATGGGTCCTTGAACACGAGGATTATGTGGGGGCATATTTGGATTCTGCAGCCCCATAGGGGCAGGTCGATTCTGAGCTTGTTGCCGCTGTGCCATGATCTGCTGATGCATTTGATGGATGCGGAGCTGTGCAAGGTTGATCTGAGTTGGAAATTTGGGCAACTGGTTGCCAGGCTGTGTCCCCTGAGAACTCTGAACCTCCATAGGAGTCGGTAGCTGTGAGGGGTCTCCCTCTTCAATAGCAAGAGAGCCTATTTCAGAGGTGTCAAATAAACAAAATATGTCAAAATACATACAAACATTTTTTTATATTTATATATATATATATATATATATATATACACACACACACACATACATACATATATATATACACACACACATATATATATACACAAAAATATATATATATTTTAGTAGTACTGAAAACAATGTGAGCAATACCTAAACTGAATATATTCTGAGCCCATGAATTAGCATCACAGTGAAACTGCACAGTGTTTGTTACTGGGGTAACATCACATCTTGCACGAAGCAGGTGTCTTAGACGAAAGGTAATCTGAAAAATGCATGAAAACATTCACCATATCTGCAGTTTTCCCATTTTCAAAAATATATATTTTAAAAGTCAATTAGTGATCAATAGCAAACAGATTGGTACTAATTTCTGGTAAATATGTTGGCACTGTATAATTCCCATTTTAAATGGTTAATAAAATCTGACATTTACAATTCACCCCAGCAAAGACTTTGCCCATCTTTCTCCCCCCTTACATTCCCACTTTTGCTCCTCTAAATTCATTTAAAACTCATATGGTTACTTTTCTGTAGCCTGGCTATATCTCTCTCTCTACATATTTTTAATCAGGTCAATGAATAACACTAATAAAAAGGACAAAACTATTTGATTTTTTCCTGTGCATGTTCAGCTGAATTTGTTAACACACAACACTATATAGACTTTTAAAGGACACCTAGAGCTCTTTATGTACAATAACTCAGTTTAACTCTATTTACATATATTTTTAATTGCATATATATCACACACATACAGAAAACTAACTTTATCACATCCATTGTTGTGTGCTATTGCATGCAGATTAAGGAAATTATGCCAACTGCTTATTTTTATTCAGTGCTTTGGTCTCCATTTAACTATTAGGAGAAATTATTTTTTCCACTGACCCAATACAGCACTCCTCGGGAAAGTTTAAAAACATTTTCACAGCTCAAAGGTGGATTTTACACATTTTCCTGAAACCATTGTTATTAACATTATAAAATAAGACCTTTAACGGGACAAAAAGTAGGATTTTAAAATCTGCTGCTTTAAACCACTGAGAAGGATATGTCAAGAGAATAAAATGTTATTTAATGAAAAAAAAGAAAATGTTTTTCAATTATTTTTAAATCACAGATGATTCTTGGTGCAGTCCGAGGGGACTAAAATGTAGGAATTTCACAATTCTGTTCCTATGCAGGCATCAACAAAACCAGGTCAGTTGCAGGTTCCTGAGGACCAGATTACAAACCACTCCTCTTGATAGCTTACACACACCCACTGTAATTACACAGGAATTGATATGACTTTACAGTGGCCCACTGAAATATGGAAGTCTTGGTAATATGGAAGTCTGATGTGCACAGAAGTCAATTCTTGAACTGTGGAAATTATATTTTACACACAATATTTAGAACAATGTGTTACTGTGCTTCAAAATCAAAATTATGTTTCATAATTTAAAGCGACACTATAACCTCCAAAACAACTCCTCTTAATGTAGTTCTGGCGAGTATAGTCCATCCCTGCAGGCTTTTTGCAGTGTGCCACCTCAGATGGCCACTAGCGGTGCTTCAAGCGGAAGTGCTGCACACTACTGTGCAGCACGGACATTCGGTGTCGCCACCCTCTGCATGGAGACACTGAACTTTCCTCATAGAGATGCACTGACTTGAAGCATTTCTATGAGGAGATTCTGATTGGCCAGGGCAGTGTTTGGTTCTGCCCCTGGCCCACCTACTTGGCTGAGATGATCAGAATTGACGATCTCAGCCAATCCAATGCTTTCTTATGAAAAAGCATTGTGATTGGCTGTGATCATCACTTCTGATGTCAACTAAGGAGGTAGATCAGGGGCAGGGTCAGCACAAGCAGACTGCAATAAAGTTACAATTTTACTATATTTAAGGGGGGGCAAGGACTATATGTAAATTAATAAAAGTTTGTGTTCTTGACTCTATAATTTTTATTTAAAGAGCATCATACATAAATAAATGTTTATATGTTTTAAAGAACCAAAAACCAGCCTGTAATGGGAATGTGCATTAATATGAAAGCAGTCTTTGAAATTTGTCAGTGACCTTAAGGCAGACAAGGTATATTACATGCACAAATGATACATTACTGTTGTCCATTAACCTCTCTACTTCATCCAGCATCAATATACGACCACCTGAAAGAAGAGGTGAACTGCTTTAACTCACCAAGCGTTTGCTGTACAGTAATGCTGTGCTACTGCCACTAGAGACAGCCCACTTTGAGAAATAGACCACATGCTCCAGTTGTTTTGAAAATCCATCTACTTCATGCTGCTGTTTCAAAAGCTTCATGCGACGTTCCTTTGCTAGAGCCTGTACCACAGAAGAGAGCTTAGTATTAAAAAAGATGCATGAAGATGGGGAGGGGCATGAAAGAGACAAAAAAAAAAAAAAACACCTTACATGTAGTCCACATTTAAATAACTTAATCAAAGTGGCAAAGTCTATAATGGCTGGCAAATGGCTCTCATTAAAATATTCTTTCAAGTGTATGCTGACCGACAATAGCGATCATAGCACTTGAGACTTGCCTAGGATTGTATATAATAAATATTAAGCAGAGAGATTACTAGAGTGTTTTGTTGTATAAAGTTATTTGGCTTCTCCCTACTATTCGTGTGAGGAGGGATGTAGAGATAGAGCTTTTTTCTTTGGTTTGAAGAAAGTTTTGTTTCATTGTGGTTTTTATATTTCCATACGAAATGTGTATTTTAAAAAGGACAGAATATAAAAGCAATTTTGTTATTTTTTAGGTGCTGAATAACGTTGAGGAAAGAATAATACCTGTGTTGGTCGGGACGAACCGGGAGGGTGTGTACTCTGTCACATGTAGTGGCACAATGCACGCAAGAGGGTGTGTTGCGGACGATTTTTGGCGCCAATTTGGGGCTTTAAAAGGACAGTATTATGCACATAACGAAGGCATCCAGTCGAAGTGCATTGCAGCCTGTTACATTTTAATATGCAAGTATATTATATTTTTGTTTGGAATACATTTATATACTTTAATTTGATACGTTTTATCTCCATGTTACGGTTGCTGTGAAGATTACATTATTAAAGTCTCATCAGAGGAGTTACTGTACCATTAGACTTAAGTCACTCATATAGGCTCAAAGATAAAAAACCTCTTATGTTGATTCTATACGTATTATATACAGACTATATTACCCTATGTAAGCATTCCTCTTTTAAGTGCAATTGTTCTTAAATCAGTGTGTGTATATTTGTTAATTCACATATACACTGTGTACAAGTGTAATACCTGTTCCACATTATTTTATTCACATTCTTGCACTGTCCACTTTGTGTCATCTTCTTTACTATTTGTTTTTGAGAAATTGTGTGGTTGGTTTCACTGTGGAATCTAGCTGCACCGCTTCTGTTTTGTGTATTCACAGCATCATTTATATCTAATTTTTGGTTTGTTGTATGTTTATGATTTAGGTTATGCTCCTTACTTAATTATGTTGTCTTTCCATCAGGTAGAGAGAGTTTAAATTAAAATTTATTGACAAGTTTAAAAACCAGGCAGCAACTAGCTATTAATGGGTCCCATTTACTTTATTGGACACATTAACAGTAATGTATTCTGGTAATTCCCGGTCGCTAAAGAAGGGTACTTTGCATTAGAAAAAAAAGCAGCTACTCTTTACCAATAGCCACTAGCACTTGAGTAACAGCTGGTCGGTAAATTTTACAAGAAACATTGGAAACTAGCTATTTGTTAACAGAATTGGCAATCCTATAAGTAAATGTGAAATGCTGGCAGTCCCAATGTTCTAAGAAGGATATTATGGCACTAGAAAAAGTGCAGACAGGCTACAAACATGATCAAAAGAATGGAGCACTTTAGTTATGAAGAAAGATTAAACATTTTTAATCTTTTTAGTTTGGAAAAAAGGCACCTCAGAAGGGATATGATAACATTACACAAAAATATTCAGGGCCAGTACAAACCATTGTCTGGAAATCTATTCATAAGCAGGACTATACATAAGACACAAAGTCATATTTAGGCTGGAAGAAAGGAGATTTAGTCAAGAGAAAGTGTTTTTTTTTAAAGTAAAAATAATAAGGATGTGGAATTCTCGGCCTGAAGAGGTGGATTTATAAGAGTCTATACAGAGGTTTAAACAACAATTGGATAAATACTTGCAAAATCATAACATACAGGGATACAATTTCCAATTAGTGGGGTAATCGTTTCTTGATCCAGGGAGATAGACTGCCATTTTGGAATCTGAAAGGAATGTATTCCTAATTTGTTGAAAAACTGGAAGCGCTTCGGACTGGGCTTTTTGTCCTTTTGGATCAACAGCAAAAACACATGTGAGAAAGACTAAACTTGGACGCAAGTTTCTTTTCAGCTGGGTAACAATATAATTTGATGACAGTATAAGTTTTTATATACATTTTTAATTCAAAACCAAATTAGTGATTATTTCATATTTCCTTTAAAGAAATAACTTCTGGTCAAGTCCACAGCAACCCTTGCCACTGAATAATTTTCTAGCTGAACAGCAATGTAATACAGTACTATCTAATCTACAAGCAGAGTTTCTGATTAAATATGTCCATCAACAATTTTAGTCTCTGAAAGAGGGCAGGTCACCCACAAATGTGTGAAAGCCATTTTAGGTATTGAAATTTAATCCATTCACTGCATTAGAAAAATAAAAAGGAAACTAGACATAACCAGTTATTTTTCACCTAAACCAAAAGAGCACCTGTAGTGGAATGAAACTAATTTAGTTTCCCCTCAAAACAGAATAAGCACAGTATATTATATAGATTTTGCCATCAGTGTTTGTGGAAAATGTAAAAATTGTCAAATGTACTTTTTATCCACCCTTTATATAAAATATAATACAACAGAAACATCATAGAAACAGTAAAACAAATAACAGGCTAGACAAATATTTGAAATATATGACTGAATGTGGGTTGTTTGACTCCTGGAGACTGCTACATGAGGGATAGAAGGATTATACCTACTATTCGGTCTCCAAAAACATGTATTCAAGGATAGAGTTCTTCAATTGAACATGTTTCAAAATCAGAAATTTGGGAAATTAACTGGTCGGATCACCCTTCCATTATTATGCATATTGAGGAGACCTTATCCTCAACTCCAAACAGCTCTTGGAAGTTGAGCAATAACTTGATACTGGATGTTGAGAATAGGGCTATTACAGAAAAGGTTATGACTGATACTCTTCAAACAATACATTGCCTGAGGTCCTTGACAAGGTGACTTGAAATGCGTAGAAGGCTGTGTTGAGAGGCCATTTTATTGCAAGGGCGTCTTATTTGAAGAGAACAGCAGCAATTTGAGAATATTGGAAAAGGAACTATACAATTTGAATCAAGCCAATAAATTCGGTCCATTGGCTTCCCTATCAGCTATGATAGAGGATACCAAGAAACATTTTAAAAAAATTAACATAGATCGTACTTCTCTTGTGGTGAGACGCCACAAAAAACAAAACAAAAACACTTTATTTAAAGAGTAACAGGGCCTCAACAAGGGAACGCTCAGTTTAACTCCCCCCCCCCCAAAAACCCTATCTACTAAACGATCCAGGGGAAAAGATTGTTCATCCAACTAACATAAGCAACATGTTTGCTGAGTATTACAGTAAATTATAGAACAAATTTAAATTCGGACATTACTCAGCCAATGGAGGAAATTTTTTTTATAAATGTTTAGATAAAGTGGTATTGCCTCGGATATCCGTGGATAAATTAGAACGTTTAGATTGTAATATATCGGCTGAAGAGATATGCGAGGCAATTAAACTTATGTCAACTGATAAAATCCAGGGTCCTGATGGATTCACTATTTTACACTATAAAACTTTTATCAAGGTTCTCCTGCCACATATGGTAGAACTGTTTAATTCATTCAAAATCGGAGGGGAGATGCCAGACTAGTCACTTTGTGAGAAGATAGTTACCTTGCCAAAGCCAGGCAAATACCCTGACAAATGCTCTAATTATAGGCCCATATTGCTAATTAACGACATTAAAATGTATGCTGTTTTGGCCAATCGATTGGCTAAACTTATCCCTTTTATAATTAAGAGAGATCAAGTAGGGTTTGTGCACAGAAGACAAGCTCCTGACAGCACAAGAAGGTTTATTAACCGAATTCAACACATTAATTCTATCAGGGTGCCTTCTCTGATCTTATCTTTAGATGCGGAGAAGGCGTTTGACAATAGACTGGGGTTATCTATGGAAAATTATACAAAAATGTAATCTTCCCTCATCTTTTATTAAAGTGATCTCTGCTCTATATGGAAACCCTACGGCTCATGTACCGTCTTTGGGCTTCAAATCAGAAATGTTCTCACTTACGAATGGAACCAGGCAAGGCTGCCCTTTATCTCCCCTTTTGTTCGTTTTAGGAATGGAGCCCTTAGCCGAATTAATAAGAACCACACCTGAGATATAGGGAATTAAATTCGGGGACTCAATGCATATGATAGGATTGTTTGCAGATGACATTTTATTGACTGTTAGGAATCCGATCTCATCTTTAACTAATTTAAAAGATTTTAAAGTCTCATACTATAAATGGAACATATCCAAAACTCAGGACCTCCCACTTCATATTAATCATTTAGACATTGTAATTTTAAAAAGCACATATCATTACAAATGGAGAGTAGATTATTTGGAATACCTAGGTATAAATTTATGTAAAAACTTAACCAATATGCATATGTATAATTTTAATAAAGTGTGGCCCGCCTTACATAAAGAGATGGAGAGAAATGGAATGCTCTTGGCTGGGAAGGGTTGCATCTATTTACTCCTATACTATTTTAGGACCCTACCCTTGTCTATCCCGTTATCCTTTTTCTCCAAAATCCATTCAGTTATGTTAAAGTTTATATGGTATTAATTAAAAAAAAAAAAAAAACGACAAGAAGGGTAGGAGCCTGAAGATACCACATCTCAAATATGGGTGTTACCCCCAGTATGACTCCTCAAAAAGGGGGAGAAGGATGGTGGTACTGAAAGCAGATGTGGCTGGAATATAACAGTACTGGAACCTATGTCCTTTTAACCCCTTAAGGACTGCGGACGTTTTATGTGGCCCTTGGGGACCCGGCTCTAAACGCCGGCATAGAACGCCCAAGCTGTCCTATGTACTTACC